TGTTTACAAAAAAAAATCTAAAATATAACTTACACTCTTCAGTTATCTTTTTTTGCACTGCTCGTACTTAAACTTTTAGGCTAAAAAAAAAACATTGTTAATATTTACAAATTCTAAATGATGAAACAACAAAAATATAATTTATAAAGTGCAATTAGAGAAGAAGAATGGTAAAATTAATAATTTTATGTTTACCTCAATTATAAGTTAACTATCACATTTGTAGAGACTTAAAATTATAATAAATTTATAAATTATAAAAGATCATGACACAAAAAGTCAGGGTTATGAACAACTTTTAAACAAAAGCATGTGGATTGTGGGAATTAAAACTGTTATAACTGTATTACCTTTAAAACCTTATTAACTATTACCTTAAAATATCCATCATACAAGACAACACCATAGACACATGCTACTGAGACTAGAATTTGTATGACTAGCCATACTACGACATTAGACACATGTGTTTGTCCAAAAAGCTCCTTCCCATTCTTTATGCACAGCATCGACTCTGTCACCATAATTGCACCATAAACCCAGCACTGGGTTCCAACTCTTTTGCAGTTTGGATCAGTTATATATGTATAATATTGTCTGAAAGTACACATTTTATTTATGTAAAACCAAAACTAGTATGATTTTGCTAAGAATAGACAAATTCTGTATATTTTTGATTTAAACACATCACATGAATATATAAGTAAAATAAATGTAATTTATATTAACATTCTTTTATTTATTGTAACAGACTTACTTACTATTATCCATATTTCTAACTTAAATAATGTATGTTTAGAAAAGTGGTCTCCAGTCACAACAGGAAATGTATATTAACCAACACATATGAAATACAAAATGAAAAAGTAGTTTTTAACTATAAAAGATGGAATAATTTTTAGTTTTAAACTTACGTTTTTGTTGGAAATTAGATTATCAGTCTCCTGAACTCATTTTAGATACTTTTATAAGACACCAAATCATCAATTATAATAATACTCATGCATATTTTTACTGATTCAATTATAAAATGTACAAGAAATCCTACTTTACCTAATAGAAGGAGCCACAATTACTCCAATCAGAACTAGGCGAGCAATAACTAGAGGATGGGAAGGCGGCATTTCAAATATATGTTTTAAGAAAAATGTGTTTAGTTCTGATATCTGCCAGAATACAACAAGTTGGCTGAGAGCAAAGAATCTCATATAAGTACAGTTTGGGTCCAGCCATCGGACAGGAGTCCACTGAACTGGGGTAAATTGAAGAATGGCCCTTTTGATTTTACCCGTTGTAGATGAGATGTCCCTAAAACAATTTTTAGTAAGATCCTCCTATCGTTCTTTAGTATTTTTTATACATAAATTAAGTCACATAGTAGTTAATCTAGTGTTATTATAAAAATAAGAAATTCAATATAACAATAATAGAGTAATCGCTATGTCTGCTTGCGAGCCAGTGCTGTACATATTTTACTCGCTCAGTTATTTTAAGTGTGGAGAATACCAAAATTGCTGTAGTTTAAATCAAGTCAATCACCACCATCATCTCTAGCAAAGCATTTATTTACCATCATTAAGTACTTCTTTTGTTGTATGTGAGTGGTATTATTAATATTAAGTGACATTTATATTTACTATTATTGAAAATATCCCTCTGATCACAGAAACAGTGAAGCTAAAGAGACTTTTGACCCTTTGATTTAAATAATTTAATATTCAGTCAAAAATTTACTTATTTATTCAGAGTTGGCATAAGAGATTGAGAAATTTATAGATATTGAATTTATAAAATAATTATTGAAATTAAATTTACCTTATACTGACCCATTTATATTCCCTCATTTCTAAAGCTTTACATATCTTTAGACCACACCATATCCCAAATCCATTACATAATAAAACATCTAAAATAATTGAATCCCACCAACACTCCAAAAAATTTGGCAATAAATGAGCAAAGGCTATTTCAGTTATTTCCCACATTATTGATATAGCCCACAAAAGACCAGCGTGCCTAAAAAGAATAGCTTTAAACATCCATCCTAAGAAATGGCCCCAGGCATAAACATCCAATCTGGACCATATTATACTTAGGTCATTACAATTAACTGCATACTCCTGAAAAAAAAAGTAACTGTATAAGATAAGGGTTAATTTATTATTATTAATTAAATCCTAAGCCACAATATTATTTTTTTAACACAACCAATATTTATACTTTCCAATGTAAGTAATTTTAAAGAGATGTATGTTTTTGAGGAAACTATTTGTTAATGGTAAAAAGGGATGCTAGTGATCAAAAATATTTTTTTATTACCTTTTCCATATCTATATGAAAGTTGCGCAACTCTGGGTCAATCCAATACATTATATCATATACAGTAGAGTAATTTTGAAATAAGAGAAATAGCAATGCCAATAAATACAAGACTGACATGCCAAACACAATCCTCCATACAGCAGGGTGAGGTCTAGTAAAGGGGCCATTAGGGAAAGTAAGTACCGATATGATTAAAAAGAAGAAAACAACGCAACAGATACCAGACCATATATTATCTTGGATGTTGAGCTCATCTCTGAAAATAAATTTAAAGCAATTATTAAAAGCAGATTCAACTCAAGACTATGCATGCATACGGTCATACCCAACTTATAGAATTCTTAAAAATTCATACAGAGTAAGAGAATTAGTAATATATTTAAAATAAGTTGTTAATTTTTAACAGAGAAGTACAAATTAATAGCAGAAAGGAGCTATAAAGGTTTACTTGCCTGACAAAAGCTGTATGAATAACGGCAGCTATGGAAACCGCTAATAACGTAATAGTGTGTGGTTTGTAGAAAAATTCCAGTGATATATCATCGACTGGTCTTTCGTTGATGGAACTAAACGAATCTCTATAATCATCTGAACCAGGTGTGCTGACTGTGTCCATGTTGCTTTCATTTATAATGAAGTAGGATTTACAAATGCAATTAAAGGTAAGTTTACCTTATTAAATTAAGGTGTTATACAATTTTTTTGATTATCTAATATCTTTCGCCATTGAGTATTTATGAGAATTAGATTCAAATTTTAAACCTCAAAGATTATTGATAAAATGATAACGTTTTGACTTTTGATAGATTGAGTTTTCACGTTACTTACCACAGAGTACATTATAATTCATATTTCTCTATTCTCTTCGTTTAAATATCGAAAATAAACTAGGTACATTCCATTGCGCAAAATAAATCATTGCACTTATTAATACGATATGAGCCGTGCTATTTTTCCTTACAAACGTATTTCCCGATTTCTTCCCCATTAAAGTATGTATAATTATTTTATTTTGCCAATAAACATATCACATAAAAATGTACTTAAAACATTATTTTTATGATTATAAAGCGACTAATATCGCAAAAAGAGGCTAAAACTGATAACTATGTAAACGAAATAACAAGCTGTAGCTCTGACCCTTTTTTGCTCAGGAGAGTAGGTAAAATACGGTAAGGGCGAGGTATTAAAAAAAACAAAGACTGTTTAAATGAAATTTTATTATTTAAATTTAAATGCTGTGAAATTTTTTAATACGCTACGTTAATGGGACCTTATGTAAGGCACTTAAAAGGTTTCTTAACGCACAAAAAATTGTCTGTAACATTTAAAATAGATATTGGTGCTAGTTCGTAAAAAAATTTTTAAACCAGATTTAAATTAGTAGTAAGTACTTTAAAGAAATGTCATAAAATATAAGTTGACAATTTTATATAATTTTACTGTTAGCCGCATTAAGCTAAAAAATATTTGAAAACACTATTAAAACACCAAGTTATAAATAAAGCACATTTAACCTACATCAAATTAAAATGTATCTACATTACCTAATGCATTCAGCATAAAGATTTTGAGTTGTATCAGAAATAGCACCAATGCCCAATAAATATATTTAAATGTTTAGACATTTTCAGCCAAATTAATTGTACTTAAATTTAGGGTAAAGCTCCTTAAATAATAATATAGTTGCAAAATATGTGAAATATACGTGTTTAAAAATTTACTTTTATAACCACTATTTGTACATTATTAGCTCAAAATGTCTTCTTACTTTGGAATATCACAGGTATATCTATTAATATTTAAATATTCCAAAAAAAAACATATTTCGTATTACATACGAAAGTACACACGAATTTATATAGAAAAAGTCAAGTCTAAATGTGTTAAAGCCATAACAACCATGTTACCATATATTTAGCAGATTCAAGAAAATATTGCACAACCTTTAAAAAATACATGCATTATATTTTCAATCTCACAAATTTAATTAATGTATAAAGTAGTTAACATCGTAACATCTCTTGCATTACCTACTATGAGTTCGACAAGAATGAAACATTAACGACTGCCTGAATAAAACATTTTTATGAAAAATCTTAGTTCTACGCGTAACACCAGATAACTAGGGAGCTGGCGAGCATTTAACTACATGATTTGCTCGTATTTCGTATTGATAGGAGTTAAAGTTCAGACCAATACGACAATTTTTTTTAATGAATTAAGGTTGCTGCGTTTTTAAGCTACAGTGATTTAAATCTTTAATAAAAATCGATACTAAATAATTTGCTCGTGTCTGCCTCTGGGGTTAATGGTCAATGCCATTTAGATAACGAAGAAAATCTTCAGGCAGACATCCAGGTGCATTAGTATAGAAGGTACATGTAAAAATGTAAACATAAAAAGCACTACTAAATCAATTACTGAATTGGGTCTATTCGATTTAATGGAACCCCCCGAAATCCAAAAAAAAATGACAGACATTTTACTTACTGACATTAACCATTACAGTTAACTGAAGTCCGCGAATCTGAGGAAAAGTATTATGGCTAATTAATGCGATTATACATAGTATGTTTTTTTTTGATGTTTGAAATTTTTATTGATCTGCGAACATAATATGAATTTCGAACCGAAAAAAAACCATGAAAAAGTAATAAATCAAGTGGTCTCCTTTCGGAATATCAGTGGTCATTTATGATTTTACACGAGCAAATTATACAGCACACTTTTTTGTCGACACTATTAAGCGCTCTTAATAGAAAACGCAGCGCTACGGTGGTGGCAGACTTTTTCTGCGGTCGTCCGCAGGGTTTAAAACGAATTCTGCAGGTCTGCCAAGCGTGCATTTCATATATTTCTTTAAATTATAAAAAAAATTATAACTTGAAAAGTCCTAGGTGTCTGCCTTTTTTTTTTCATTTTAACAAAGATTCTAAACATCAGTCTTAAAAGCAGACGCAAGCAAATGATTTAGTATATTACATCAGACGATGTCCTTAATATTCCTTATCGTATAATTATCGCTATTAAAAAAGTCTGCCACATGAGCAAATCATATCGATATTTTGCTCGCAAGCGCCCTAATATACATATTTAATATTTAACATACCCTTTCCAATTAAATGCATTATTTTTTAATAGTCCTTCAAATCAAATCCAATCAATTTATAAACAATAAATAAGTCTAATTGCACAGGTTTAGCTAAATTACTCATCACTCTTTTTATAAGAGCGTGAAAACATTTTGAGAGAAACAGATTAAAGATAACTTTAGTTAAAAAATCTACAAGTCGGGTCGTAAAATTTTAAAAAGGCAATGGTTTGGTTTTTGTTTGGTAGTGGATTTTTAGTGTTCAGGATAGAAATGTAACGGTATTTACAAATATCGCCCGTAAATACGTACTTTGGGTAGTAGCCACTCGATTTAATAGATAAAAAAAATAATTGACAAGGACGTAAATGCCATGTAGCAGTTGGCATCTTAAAAAAGCTTTTTTTTTAATTATACTGAACATTAATTGATATTTTGTTAATAAACTTAGACAATATAAAAGCAATAGTGTTTCAACGCTTGTGTGTATATGACCTAATATTATGAGTGATTTAATAAATATTTATTCTTACGTATGTCCAATTAATAAATAAGGGAAATTAACTTAATACAAATTCCAAAACTAATTGGTAAACAACACTGTCCAATATTAAACAAAATCTCGGTTGGATTTAAAAAAAAAACCATTAATATTTGGTTGAATGAATTTGTTTGGCATCTAATAATTTGAAAAAAAAAAAATTAAGTCAAGCAAGTCATATTTAAACATTCAGTTCTATTAACTTTTGAGTTGTCAGATGCAGAGTAAATGTTGCTGACTAAATTTTTAAGGCTTGTGTTACTTTTTTGTAGTTTTTACTTGGAGCAGTTATTTTTACAACTGTTTTGAAACATTTGTGAAAGTATAACTAAATAAGCCAATAAATAGATTTTTAGAATAATAGTTATTAATGTTGAACTTGATAATAAAAATATAATTTTTAACTTATCAATTCTATAATAAACTGACACTTAAAATTAATGCCTTAAAAAAATTTCTTTGGTTCTGGGAGTAGTGTAGTTAAGATAAAGTATCTTCTAGGTAAAATATCACCAAATATTGTCCGACAGTATTTACAACACCTATTGAAGCATTAGGCATCGACCGTTTGTCCACCTTTGAATAGGGTTTCCAAAACGAATTGGCAAACAGCGTCGTAATATAATCAAAAATTTCGATTGAATTTTGAAAATTGTCTTATAAAACAAACATCAAAAAAATTAATTCTCGAAAATGTGAGATATTTGACTTAGAGTTTTCTAAATTTATAATCAAGAAAATTGTTATAAACTTAATACACATACTGGGAACTTAATTCCAGATAGTCTAACCGGGCAAGTCTTTTTTCTCTTACAAAACCCTTAAATAGATTTAAGAAAAAATACAATTTTGCGTGTAAAATTAGGCGTTAATTTTAGTATTGCTGCTGTAAATAAACGTGTTATTAATCTTACATTATAAAATTGTTAGAAAATCATTTTAGCCTAGCTAAAGACAGACAGACTATTTCTAGGAACGTTTTTGGGCCCACTTCATATCATCAGCTCTAGGCTTACAGCCTGTTAAAGCTTCGATAATATTTTCAAGAATGTACCAGAAGTGTAATTTCTCAAGAGGCCAATTCAACCAACCGGTTGTAATGCAAAAGTAAGTCTCGTGCGGCGCGACGTGGTGGATTCTGTGATGACGACGTGGCAACACTATATGCCACTCTTGCAAACACACCACCCACGCTGGTAATCCAAAATAAGTGTGTGACCATTTGTGGATCTGGAATGTTAATATTACTATAATTCTTTGATTTTATCAAGGAAATTGAAATATGTACCTGATTATTAACAGGTGACACAGGGGCTTGAGACGAAATTACTTTTCGACAGGCGTGACCCACATCGGCAAACAAACTTGTATAAAAAAATCACGTGATAAGGCGCGAACTAATATCATTACAAATTCGTTAGTTAGTTAGCGAGACGCTCAGCACCCGGTGGTGGACGCACAGGCTTCCCTTAGTGTTTGGGGGGAGGAGAGGGCAATTCTGAGCTCTATGAATACCAACATCAGTCAGTTATTTATCGATCTCAGTGAATACTAACAGACGCACCATCTTCCACACTCGCCGTGGACTTTGAAATTTTAGGGGGCTCAATTCCAAAATCCACGCTGTCAACTACCATTTAGAGTCTGCGAAGCCAGTATTGTTCTTTCTAACTGAGACTCAGATATTCTCCCCGACTGATACTTCCTATATCTATATATCCGCAAAAATCTATCGTGCTTGGAAATTCATAGGTCGAGCGGGCCTGATAACATTAGTGTGCTGCGTACTTGTGCTTCTGAGTTGGCTCCGGTCCTAACGTGCCTTTTCCTGTACCTGTACGCGCTCGACACTCTCCCGAAGTGCTGTAAAACCGCTTCAATACAGCCGATCCCTAATAAAGGCGATCGCTCGGATCCATCCAACTATCGCCCAATAGCCCAAAACCTCCACGTTCTCCAAAATAATGGAAACAATTATTAACGGCCAGCTCCTGACATATCTGGAGGGCGGCCAGATGAATAGCGATTGTCAGTACGGTATTCGTCGTGGTTAAACTCAAAATATCTTTATTCATATAGGTAAACAAGTACACTTATGAACGTTAAAAAGAAGTTAAATTAATTGTAAATTTACATTTACTACCAGTTCGCAAGTCAAGGGCGTAGAGCGGGTAAGAAGAACTGGCAAGAAACTTTCCGCCACTCTTTTTAGTCGCCAAGTATTGAGTCACACAAATTGTTTGAACTGGAGCAAATCAATCCCAAGCATCAGGATCATTTAAGTATTCGTCAAATTTATAAAAAGCTTTATTGATTAATTTACGTTTAACGAGGGCTTTGAATTTATTTAGTGATAATTCTCTAATTTCCCTTGGGAGTTTGTTGTAAAAACGAATACAATTTCCATACAAGGAGTGGTTTATCTTCTGGAGCCTGGTTGTTCGTACACTCAAATTAGTTCTATTTCGCGTATTATACCTACTGGTGAGTCACCATTTGTTTTAAAATAGTTTATATTTTTTTGTACATACAACAAGGATTTAAGAATATATTGACCAGATAGTGTCATAATATTTAATTCCTTAAACTTATTCCGTACCGACTCCCTCGGAGAAACACAACAAATACCCCGAAAAGCACGCTTCTGCAGCAGCACCCCACATAGAATACCGTACGACATAACGCTGTGAAAGTAGCTATGACATACAATTTTAGCCGTGTCCTTATCAGTAAACTGTCGGATTTTCTTTACTGCATATGCTGCAGAGCTCAGAAAGAGTCTGTATGTGTGGGCACCACTGGAATTTACTATCTATTGTTATGCCTAGAAAAACAGTTTTGTCAACAAAGTTTAGTTCACTGCCCTTAATTTTCAGGTTACCAATATCTCGCTTTACGCTAGTAGTTATAAATCTAATACATTTTGTTTCATTCTCATTAAGCAGTAAATTATTTACATTGAACCAGTTAACTATACTCCTTCGCTCGGCTGGTGACCTTCTTGTATACGTTTCACATTGATGGGCAGAGGCAATTGAGTCCAAGGGAGAAGCGCTAGCGGTTAGTGTAGATATAGCTAAAGCCTTCGATCGGGTGTGGCATAAAGCGCTACCTTCTACAGCATTTGCCACGCGGAGTGTTAGAGAATTGTTTGGATTAACACCTGTAGCTGTTTTCTCATCGGACGTCAAGGTAGAACCTGTAATGCCACCCGTATCACCTTGACATCCGTCGTACCACAACTGAGCGTTTTTAAGGCAGTTATTGCCGCACACCACCACTATATGCAGCAGCCCACTAAAGTATTTCTAAAGTAATTCAATTTAGGGTTCTTCAAGAAAAAAGCGTACCAATTCTTAAAAGGCCAGCAACGCACTTGCGAGCCTTCTGGCAATGTGTCCATTGACGGCAGTATTACTCTGGAGAGCAGGAGGTTCTTTAACCCCAGAATGTTAATAACCAATACTACAATTTTTTTTTTACCTGATTTGTCATTGCCACAAATATACAGCACAAATACCAGTATGATATCCAATGGAATTTCTCGTTAATTTCATTAACATCATATGTCGCTAGCTGCCATACTATTCTGGCTAAAACTGGTATTGTAATTGCAAAATTGTCTCCATTTGTTTCAATAAAATCATGTCTTGTTATTGAAGTTGGATCAATGTGGTGTTCACGAAAAGGGCGTAAAAAATTCTGTAAATTATTAAATAAAGTTATATTAGTATTACAGCAGCTAAAAATCTAATACCTTATTTAGCACAAATAATATCTAATTTAATTTTAATAGGCAAATGAGCAGGAGGCTCATCTGATGTTAAGTGTTAAGCCTGTGGATATTCTCAATGCTAGAGGGCTTGTGAGTGTGTTGTTGGCTGACCTAAACTATGTCCTAAATCCAACAACCACATATATTTTGATTCAAAATAGTGAACTGTAAGATATCTTTGAGATAACACTTGGTTCTTCCAAAAAATTAGTTGTGGTAACTTCGTAACTACTTTCGTACAGGCTGAAAAAATATTAGTGAGCAACATGCAGACTCATCAAACTATACTTAAGCCACTACTTACAAACTGAAAAACATCTTAATCAAGTATTTACTATAAATGTTGTTGTACAACATCTAAAAAAACAGGATGCAAGAATTATTGCAGTTACAAAATAGGACTACTAATACAATAAACCAATTCAAACAAGGTAAAAATTAAACATATTATTATATGCATGTTCTTTTTTAATATATTTTTTCAAATGTTATTGCCAAAAGCAATGTGCATAGCCAAAGCTTTTAGTATTGATTAAGCCTCAAGAAATACACAATAAACAAGCTTGGTGAGTTGTTATATTACCTTGCCTATTAAAGGTAGGTCTACCGCACCCCATGTATCAGCAGCCCAATGTACAAATCCTGATAGAAAATCTGCTGTTAGAACACCAGCAATTGCCGCAAGCAATAAAAACCCATCAGGACGAATATATTTAGCCATTAAGAGCCCTGCTGTCACACATAATGTGCAACACAGTACCACACATACCAATTCTTGTAATCTCTTTCCTTAAACCAAAATAATAAATAAACAGGCTGTGTTTTAGTATTTTGTAGAAGTAATATAGTAATGGTTCATTTTACAGTTTAAAAAAAAATATTCTTAATTTACTACAAATGTTCAGAGTACAAGTATTTATTAATGGTTTAAACAGCTATTTATGAGTATTTAAATTATTTTATTATTCAGTGTCATTTGTATGGGGTTGCTTTTTAATATTATGCTTAATTGTGTTATTGATTTATTATTGAAACATATTAATGGTTGATATTAGAAACATATAAGCTTCTCTGCATTATAATTGTAAATATAAGTTGTTAATAAAACAAAACTAAAACTACACCAACTACAGGATTTCAAAATTACACTATTATTTCCTATTTCTGACTTCACATGCAGTCCTTCAACCAGTCATGCAAGTGTAATGAAGTAAAAAATTATTACTAAAACTTGCAACAACTTTAAGACCAAGATACCTGGACTGTACAGTTCAGCGAGTTCTTGTGCCCCTCGATGTCTTGGTCCCCATCGAGGCTCAGATCCCACTTCATTCGGTAATTGAGTATTCGCGTTTGGGTCGTCTTCGTACATTGAATGCTCAAGGATATCTCTTTCAGTTTTAACCGGAGCTAGCAATGTGGACGCCATTGTACTAGCGTAATCGAAATGGTCACAACTATTTACACCATCTCTATTGGAACACGGAGGCAAAGGTAATGGTAAAGTCATGCTTAGAGACAGTAATTACTTTATTGTGAAACACGACCAGATACTGTAAACGTTAAAAGCTATTAAACAAGTAAAAGCAGCTAATTAACTTTCGATCCCTTTTTGGTAACAAATTTTATTAACTATTCATTTTATGAAAATAAGTTTTTTTATCATGTTGTATGTTGATAAAATTATGAATCTACTGGCAGAGGCAGATACAGAATTGACAAATGAAATCTACGGACAATGGTTAAATTAATGACAGCACACACTACTCAATCACAGACTAGATAGAGACATTATACGTGTGTTATTATAATATTACACAATGTTAAATAAATAGTGATAATGCGATACATTCTCCTTGTTAATAAAATACTGTCGCATAGCCCAGGCATTAAATATAATAATAAAAAAGCAATAAATTATCTTTATTTTTAAAAAATAGAAGTCATTTGTTTTTCTCGTGTTTGGAACATTTTCTTAGTTAACTAATAACATATATTAAACATTAAAAATAAATTATGACAAATTAATTATTTTAAGTGTTTTATTTATTCCTTATAACTAAGAAAAATTTATTGAACAGTTATTGCACAATTGGTTAGAAGGCTTCCGTCTTCCATTCTTCCGATTTGTCATTATTTCTGGTGTGTAACAGATCAGCACGAAGAGATGGTTGGTGGGCAATTACATGAAGGGCAGGACGGAAGCTTCCCGTTGCGAGTGAAGCGACATACATATACTCTTATACATACATGAAGTTCAAACACACATTTTATATAAATCAAATACATATAGACATAACAGACACACATATGTATTTCCTACACGGCATATGTTTTATTTACCATACATTTCAGTAGCTAGTAAATAAATATATATCTCCTCATAAATGTCCCTGTGGCACTGATGTCGACAAGCTAGGACATCACGGACTGTCATGCCAAAAAAGTGTAGGCCGCTTCTCAAGACATCAACGTGCCAAGTCTATTGAGCCGACTGGTATTTTACCAAAAAATCACGACGCAGAAATTATACAAATGTACGCACTCCACGCGGCTAACTTCAAATGTGGTTTGGAACGTTAGAAACTGGCGGTTTTAACAAAAATACCAGCACTCAAAAAAATACGTTAAACTTGGTGTTATAGAGGATTTTTTGTCTTACCCCATTTTTCATCTTGCCCCCACTTACCTTATTTTAGTTATTATATTTTAAGGTTAGTTATTCTTTTTTGTTATGATTTAATAATTAAATTGTGTATTGAAAATGTGTTGTATAAGTTCTTACATGAAGACATGATATAAAACTGTAGGACGTAGGCATCATAAAAACAAAAGTCCCTCAAATCGAATAATTACTACTAGGTACTACTACTAGTACTAAGCGTGAAGTACCTACCCACTCAATCAGTCATTTAATAGATGAGGCCTTTGTTAAAACGAGAACAATAGATTTAAATGAATGAATTCAGAGGCATTAATTAAGAGTGAAGAGGAATATTCAAAATGTTTATATAAGTAATGAGTTAATATGAACAAATAAGTTTGAAAACTAACCATAACAATCAAATATGTATGTATTTACATTTATCTTAACCTACAAAATAGTTCAGCCCAAGCAAAGTATTTAATTTGTTAGAAAATTCGTATTAGAACTAGGGGTATGTTTAATAATATAAATTCGTATCATCCCCAACACATTGTTTAGGATTATAACATGAATGTGATGATGATTGATGTGGAAAATGACCCACATCAATCATCCAAATCGGTTCACAGACGGAGGAGCAATGCACAACCATAATTAAATACATGGATTTTTTTTTATTAACTTGAGTAGTATTGTCAAAAGTAAACTTAAAAAAACAATATTTACTGTATGGGACCATGGACCATGAAAAGTTTGGTCCATGATCACTTATTAAAAATATATATTTTATAAATATATCAAGTCCTCTAACTTCCATTTTGTGCCCTTTGTAGTAGACTTTGGCCGTGGGGTTCAAGTGCACAGGCTCTAATTAAAGATTTAAGTTGGCGCCTGGTATATAGTACCGAAGCTGGTGCTTTCCTCGCTCAACGAATAAATATCCCAATACAGCGAGGAAATGCTGCCAGCGTTAAAGTTACACTGCCACAGGGACCAAACTTTTTAAATTTGTTTTAACTTCCTTTTATTAATTTTTAATTATACAAAATTATATATTTTGATTATTATTAGGTATACTATGTAAATTAACAAAAAAATAAATTATATATAGCACTAGTATTATACAAGTCAAGTAGATGCTAATATAATATTATAAATTCTACGCAAAAAGTAAGTCCAAGTATTCAGCAATTCAAACACTTGAGACTGATGGAACTTATGCACTATATATATTATAATGTTATAAAAAATGTTCATGCGATCAGACGTCTATGTTTTATTTCGGTTAAGATCTGTGTATTTCGCGTAGCCAAGTTTAAAAGCGTCTTCTATAAATATATTCATTACGTCTAGTACGTACCGGATTTTTCGTATCTTATTTGAGATTCAATTACGAGTATAATAGTTTACAGAATTTAAATAACAAAGGTATGTATACCTTCTATTTATGTGTGAGTGAAAAGCCATGACTTTAAACTGAACACAAGAAATTGTTCACGTTTTCCCGAAATATTAATATGCCACATTAAAATCGGTTTTATTAGGAAACTGATGTTCTACTTGTTAGGCCGCAGAAGGAATCTTGGGTAATATTCGTGTTGAAAGTCCCGTTAAGCAAGTGCAAGGGGCTCACGCACCTTAGTATTTTTTTTAGTATTATGAAATAATAAAAGGCAATATGAACTACTTGTGCGACGTAATTATTATCTCCTTAACCACTGGACAGATCATGATGAAATTTAGGACCGAGTTATCAAAAGTTTTATAATCATTAATTATAACTCAACGTTATTTTGTACATATGTGGAATCTAACATAGTAAATAACCAATTGGGAAAAGGTGATTCTTAAACATAACTAACGTCTTTAAATTTTGCTAGACTACAAGTAGCTCTATACCTACGTCAATTATAACATTTTGTACTTGTAGGTGAACTATGTTTTCAAGTCGATACAAACAACCAAATACTCTACAGCGAATGTCTCTCATTCGACTCGGGAATTGGATCGCTCAGCATGCAGAACTACACATGACTTCAGTAACTATTCAAGCTCAATATAATCCTCAAGAGGCTCAAGCAACTTTAGCAAATAAGGTCGATCACATTCGAAAGTACTTAGATTTTCATGTACCGTGGATGTTACACGATCAACTTGTTAATGAAGCAATAAATTCCCTCAATCAACTCTTAGACAAAACTAAAAATTCTATGGGATTTAGAGCATCAATGTCAACATTTATTGCTAAAATGAATGTTATTGTTAAAATGACGGAGACCCTATTCACAAAAAACCTTACGTACGTCTCTATCGACGTGATACCGAAAATGATACGTACTATATTTTATACAAAACTATACATGCTAACAGGTTTAGTATACCTAAATTTAGGTTCATTATCAGGAGGATGGAAAACAGCAGACATGGAAGCATCTATGATAAAATCAATAAAGGAATTACACGCGCTAAAGTATCTTTATATAAATTATGACTGCACTGACAAAATATTAAAATGTATTGTTGAGAGCTGCACAAAACTAGAGAAATTAGATGTCTCTTGTTCAAAATGTATAACGAATGAAAGTATAGATATAATATGTAAATTGAAGAGGTTAAAAAGTATACAGTTGTATCAGACATTCGTTACCTGGGAAGGTTTTGTAAACCTACTAATTAATTGCAAAACGTTGGAAGATATTGGAAGATGTGACGAAGTTGGAAGAGTTTTAGAATTTATACATAAAAATTGCCCAGAAGCATTACCATTTAATTTAAAAATATTTGTAAGTCGATATGCTAACAGTAAACATCTACAACTGGCTGTTGATACATGCCCTGACATATTTAATATGACTGTATTTCATAACACATTGCAAAGTGATTTATTAGTGCTTATTGGATTGAAAAACCTCTCTAAACTCAAGTTATTATCTTGCGATTTTTATGCAGATCAAATAAAGCAAGTGTTACAAGTAAAGGGTTGCAATTTGTCTTATTTACATTTGGAACATGTGGATCAAATAGACTTGAACGCCTTGATGTACATAAGTCAAATGTGCCCACTATTACATACTTTAACATTTTATAACTGTTCACTTATTCAACATACATCTTTGTATACCAAAACATTAGACATTTTACCATTTAGGAATTTAAGAAAACTTACTTGTGTATCTGGATTTTCTGATGAGCAATTGTTATTTTTACTAAGTAATTGTATTAATATTGAGTTTATTCAAATAGGCACAGCTGTTCAGTTAACTGATGAATTTATTATGATGTTATTAGAAAAAAATCCTTTAATTTATCTTAAAGAACTAAGAATAATGCAATCAGATTTTCTTACCATTGCATCAATAGAACAAATAATTCAAAATTGCATAAGTTTGGAAATTTTAGTAGAATTAGAAAGCTGGTCCATGTTGTCAGACAGTGACAGAGATTATATAAAAAATTATATAAAAGTCAATAACTACAACATTGATACTGCACCCATAAGTTCACCCATAAGAAGATATAAATAATTCAAGCTACAAAACCATTAACTATTAATAAAAACTGTGTAAGTGTATTTCAATTTAGACTTAACATTTTTTGTTTTTGCAAATTAGTTTAGAATTCATGTGTATTAAAATGTTGTCTTCAATATGAACATTATTTCATTTTACCTTTATTAAAAGTGCAAAGAATCTTAAAACTTTTACATGTTTCCAAATTCATGAAATACTAATATTTTCCTTATTGATCAGAACTATGATCTTCGTTTGGAATAAGAGCAAACATGTAAACAGGATATATTCCATTTGGGAAATTAGTTTGTTTACATTGTTTAATTCTTTTTAAATTTGCTTTTTTAAATATTGTGATATATTGCTTTAAGCATCTTGTAATTGATGAGTCTGCTTCATCTGGTTCTGTAAAGCCCGATGATGTTACATTTTCTTTAACAATGATTACTCCATTTTTGGTCAAAGATTTTCTGAAAAGTAAGCACTTTTAAGATAGATATTGTTTGAAACAATAGCAAGCAACATTACAATTATACTCACCTGCAAGTAATGAGATAAGACACTAAATCTTCATTTTTTAAATAGCCTAAGACCCATTGATTCCAAATAACATCATACTTTCTTTCTGGCTGAAAATTTTGCAAGCTACTGTTATATAAAGTTCCTACTTTCTTACTATCTTCTCCCACGTAATTCAATAGTTCAGTTAGAAACTTTTTATCTGGTTCAATCACATCTACTTCATTAAAATGGGGCGCTAACAAATGTTTTGTAATTCTACCAATTCCAGCACCACAATCGAGTGCGATTTGTCTTCCAGGACCATTTTCTTGTGAGAAGAGAATATTAAGGAATTGTGTAGAACCAATTATATCCATATTTGATATATATCCAAAACCACCAAGCACTCCATCAACTGTAGCTGGGATTTCAGCCCAGTATTCTAAAGCTTTATCATAATCTATACTCTTGGACATCTTAATGAGTTGGTTAAATAATGTCATACATTTAAAAAGGTAAAATAAAATACTCTTCAGACTACATTCATATAATATTTGAACAGATGGCAGTCTTTCACAATTAAAATATGTTTATAATTAGATATTACTAACGAACAAACATCTTGTTTCTAGTCTCCACATATTATAGTGTTGCGCACCTCATGGCTCATACATGAGGCACCTCAAATGTCACACTCAAAGTTGTCAAATGTCGCATCACCTCAAACACACATTTTGTACCGCTTCAAACTCGTTGAGGTATTTCAAACGCGGGCTAAGCGCTGAATGTAATTGAAGCGGTGAGTCGTATGTCATGAATGAGTGAACGGTTTAGATGAATTGTTTTGTCCCATCCCATGTAGGACAATGACAATAATTATTAAAAATCGTGTCTGATGAGCAACTGATTAAATCGATTTTATTGAATGAGTGACAGTGACTGTTCACTGTGACATATTATTGTAATTGGTTTTTGTTTGCATAAATAACTTTTATTTATTTTTGAAGTTATACTTCTTTAGGCGCGTTATGAAAAATTGATGAGAGTGAAATTTTACGATGCGCGCGCACCGTGACACAAAATTAACAGAATGAAGTTGCCCATGGAAGATGGTACGGCATTGGACATAATTTAAAAACAACATTCTCAATAACAACATAATAATAGAATTTATGTTACACTTAATGTAAGAGAATAAAAATAAATATTTATTTATTTAATTTTTCTAATGTAAACTGAACTTTATTGACTATAATGACTCCTTTTCCAGTCTTGATTATTTAATTGTAATTAATTATTTGCATGCAATCAAAAACTATTTTTAATAATGCCAAAGAAGTATGACTTCTTACGCGCGTACATAAGTACACGCACCCTTTTTTATGGTTGAAAGACCTTCGCCATGGAAACAGTGGGTTCGTCATAAAGGGACTAACAGTACAGAACAGACTCCTCAAATGAAGTGGTACAATGTATTAACTCATTTTATAAAATGAGGTGGGACATACAAATACTTCAATTTCGTTTGTCCTACCCATTCCACTACTCCACAATTAAATATTAATTAATTAAGGTACTACCAGGGTTGCCAACCCCTACAAAATGTTCCCCCTAGGACCAACTTCAAATACCTAAAAAATATCTATGTTTCGATTAAATAATGTAATCATTTTTTTGAGATGCAGGTACTTATTAAAATGTTTACTTCTCTTAATATCGCTCCAGCCTTCATTTTCTCCTTATTAGTATTCGTGCTTAAATCTTTGTTCTCAATTATTGATATATAGGGTCGTAGAATATTTCTAAAAGTTGTGTAACAAACACAATAAACAAAATTAATTAAGTTCATGTTTCAGTTTTAATCAACAATAATACTCGATAATACATACGGATAGTTAACCTCAATTGTATTGAAGCACTCAGGAAGGTTGGCACAGTTTTTTTCACAAATATTTTATCATATTAATTAGTATTGATTTAGATATTCAATTTCTGATTATAATTCAGACGCACATAAAATTCGCACTTGTATAATGAAAATAACTAGGTACTTTTAGAATCTTTTATTTTAAACAATAATTCAAACTCCTATATTTTTTAAAGGTAAATGTCATTGTCAGATGTCAATAAAAAAAAAAAAAAAAAAAAAAAAAAAAAAAAAAAAAAAAAAAAAAAAAAAAGGGGGGGAAGTTAGAAAGGGGGGGGAAAAAAAAAAATTTTTGAAGGGGGGGAGGCAAAAGAAAAAGAATATGCGTGAAGTTGCTTATATTCTATTTTGTAGATGTGCACGCTAAAACACAAAAAAAAAAAATTTTTTTTTGGGGGGGGGGCGCCTCCAAAAATTTCCTCTCATCAAATTTTCATAACCGCCTAAAGAAGTATCTTAATCTCTAAATGTCGATTAAAAACCCCTAGATTTTGTTGTACACTTGGTTTGAGAGGTAATTTCAAATATGAATTAAAAATACGTTGAAGTAGTAAAAAAATAAAAAGGGTGCGTATACTTATGTACGCGCGTAAGAAGTTATACTTCTTTGGCATTATTAAAAATAGTTTTTGATTGCATGCAAATAATTAATTACAATTAAATAATCAAAGACTGGAAAAGGAGTCATTATAGTCAATAAAGTTCAGATTACATTTCAAGTTCAGAAAAATTTAATAAATAAATATTTATTATTATTCTCTTACATTAAGTGTAACATAAATTCTATTATTATTCGAATGTTGTTTTTAAGTTATGTCCAATGCCGTAGCATCTTCCGTGGGCAAGTTCATTCTGTTAATTTTGTGTAACGGTGCGCGCGCATCGTAAAATTTCACTCTCATCAATTTTTCATAACGCGCCTACAGAAGTTTAACTTCAAAAATAGCTGTTGTATTTATGCGAGTACATTATACATATTTATATAATATGTTAATCAATGACCAAAAACTATTAATGATAATAATAATGAGATAAAACGATTCTAATTTTTTATTTCTTAACTTTTCTTTCTTAGAATTCAGTTTTTCTTAACGTTTCTTGGCAGACATTTTTTTCGTTTTCGTCAATTTCTTTTCATACATTATTTTTAAAGCTTTTTGTACTTTTTCTTTTTTTTATTATCTGTTCTGTAATCTGTTACAGTTAAACGAGACAGAATTAAAATAAAAAACGAATTGCTGCAACGTGCTTTTTTCCTTCAATCGATATCCAGGCCGATTTGACGTTAAATGATTTGATCATACGGTCAGAAGGAACAAATTTGACACATTAAATTATTGTTTTTCGATATTTAAGCTGTAGCCAGGCTTGGAGTTTATATTTGGTTTAGTTAGTTGATTGCGATCAAAGCTTAAGTTAAATTTTATAGAATCGTGTGTTTGTAGAGAAATAAAACTCTTGAATAAAGTATCCCCTAAATAAATGTACCCCTTAAAAAACACCCTGGACATCTTGATTACCCCTAAATTTTGGGGGGGAAACTCCCAAGTTGGCAATACTGGCTGCTACTTCAGCTAGATTTTTTTAATTTTATGGCCTGTGGGCTTAGTCAAGATGCCCTAACAGTAGTGTATGTATAAAGTCGAAAACTTAATTTGTATGAAAATTACAGTTCGTGTCGATAAATTTTCATACAAATTTAGTTTTCATACAAAGCCCCCTGCTGTTCGTAGCTGAATATAATAAAAATCCACACATAGAAAATGAAATTGAAGAAAATTACTAACCAATAAATTCATCAACTACAAACCAAGAACCAAAATACATCACATCATCAAGTACACACAGACGAATTGCAATATGAATGCCATGAATCAAATGAAGATATTCCTGATGTCATAGAGACACGTGGAAGGCCGCAAATATAAAGTCGTCCACCAGTGGACGTGGACAAGTGGACTATTGATTATGCGGTAAATAACATAGATGAAAATATAACATCATCAGGAAGTCGCTAATCTATCTGATGAAAATGACGACCTTGAATATTGGCATGGTACTATTAAGGCTGAAAAAAAACACATGTAAAAATCGTACCTACATGGAAAGTAGAAAAGAAAACTAACAACATAAAAGAAGAAGATTATGAAATGATTTTAAAGAACAAAGTAGGTCCTAATAATCAAATAAATCGAAAAGCTAGATTAGTTGCTCGAGGATTTACTCAACGTCCAGGAATTGGATAGTATTATTCCCGGAAGTGTAAAGCGCATAAAAATTGTGAGAACAACAGTCCCCTTCCATACACAAATCTAATTGGAACTCTCGTGTACCTTGCAATAGCCACAAGACCAGACATACTATTTGCCGTTAGTCATTTGTGTCTATTTAGTGACTGTTACGGAGTACAGCATTTCAAAAGCGCAAAGATAGTACTGAGATAATTAAAAGGAACAAAACATGGGGTGGCAGATGCAGAACGGGATGCCTGTAAAATAGAGAGTAAAGCTTAAAGTTTTTAGTAAGCTGTCTAATCAACAACAGAGTGTTGCACTTTCGAAAACAGATGCTGAATACGTTGCACTTTTTTGACGATACTAATTATTTAGGAGTCTCGGAGGACCTTCATTGGAACACCTCCAAGTGAGTTTTGCTCCGGAAACGCGTCAAAAATTTTATAAAGATTTATAAAGTAAACTTTGCACTGTAAAACTAATTACCGCTAGTCTAGCATAAACCACATTCAAAATGGCCGATTAAGTTTATAAAATTAATAGGGATGTGAAAAATAATCGATTTTTTTAAAAGTGAAAATCGATTTTTGTATTCGATTTTAATATTAAAAATAATTGAAAATTCGGCGACCAAATATTCATATACTAACTCTAACCTAACCAATCTAAATAATATTTGTTTTTGTGGACAGCTCCGATCTAAATAGTAATTGTTTATTCAAGCCTCGGCTTCTCGGCGTCCTGGTCGCCTTCGGCGACCAAATATTCATATACTAACTCTAACCTAACCAATCTAAATAATATTTGTTTTTGTGGACAGCTCCGATCTAAATAGTAATTGTTTATTGAAGCCTCGGCTTCTCGACGTCCTGGTCGCCTTCGGCGACCAAATATTCATATACTAACTCTAACCTAACCAATCTAAATAATATTTTTTTTGTGGACAGTTCCGATCTAAATAGTAATTGTTTATTGAAGCCTCGGCTTCTCAGCGTCCTGGTCGCCTTCGGCGACCAAATATTCATATACTAACTCTAACCTAACCAATCTAAATAATATTTGTTTTTGTGGACAGCTCCGGCGCTACGGGAAATGCAGCCCCTCCACCCTTGCGTACCAAAGCACAGGCATTTTATTCAAGCCTCCGCAACCTCGGCTTTTTGGTCGCCTTCGGCGACCAGCCTCAGCCGCTACAGCTTTCTTAATGCCTGTGCTTTGTTACAGCGGGTGGGGGCTGCTCTTCCTCCGCGCCTCCGATTATTTATATACACTCTAGGGGTAAGACAGACAAGACCACGTGGATAGTGGGTTGCTCTGATTCGGTTTTGGGTACTTTTTGGATATTAAAGTAAACACTTTATTCTAGTAAAAATTAAATAATATAGAAAGTTGCAAACAATGAAATACAAGTACTAATTAGAAAATACAGACGAGTAGGTATCGATAATTTCAAAAAATTTCGGAACCCTATAATCTATCAACACGAAATTAGGTTAATTTCAATGTTGATTATTCTATAACTTTAAATTTCAAAAATGAGGAAATAATCGATAAATAAATAAAACGATTATTAACAATCGATAAATTAAAAACACGATTTTTTTAAGTGAACGTCACATCACTTATAACCAATAGAAAAGTAGAAAATGGCGGATTGTTTACAAATTTTAATACATTACACAAAACTTTAAATTTTTTATAAAAATATTTAGACGCGTTTCCGGAGCAAAACTCACTTGGAGGTGTTCCAATGAAGGTCCCCCGGACACTCCTAGATAATTAGTATCGTCAAAAAAGTGCGGTGGTATTTAACACCCAACCCCACTTTCGAAAACAGAGGCTGAATACGTTGCACTTACTGAAGCTGCAAAGGAAGCCATACATTTAAAAACCTTGTTCAGCTACTGAAATGTACAATACCGCATTAGCACAGCGGCCAGCAAGATAGATGCATTATTATGAAGTCGCCATGGAGGACGCGCACGGCCAGCGGCCCCATCGAGCCGCGGTGTCCAACGAGATAGAATCGACCCATCTGCGGCCCGTGGTTGGTGGCTGGCCGCTGCGGCCACTGATATTGAACTGTAGATATATGACACCAGGGTTCGCGCAATGGCCGTTAATAATTTCATTATTTAATTACACAAATACACGTACATATTAAAGTTTGATTAAAACAATCTCTGAATGTCTCGAAATTAAACTCCAAAACAATATTAATATTGGATTGATGCGAGTGTATTTATATTTACAAGAATGGTCCGCCATCGTTGATTTGATTAATCTGTGACCTTGTGTCACAAGACGACGTATAAAAATCATTCTTTTTCATAAATAAATTAATGTTTTTTTTAAAGCAATTTTACTCTAGAAGGCTATTTCAAAGCCTTATTCTACACAGATTCCTCTTAATAACACTTTATTATCAATATTCCAATCTTCTTACTCAATTGGAGTTGCTTTGAGGAGGTTGATCGTATAGAGACCTTGGTGTGACGTGATAGTCTCATTTTACTCCTCACCACGAAATAATTATAGCGAAATCATTTCAGATCTCGGTTTCATTAGGCGTAATACCACTGACTTTAAGAATTAAAACTCTTATTACTCTGAAAATTGTGCAGCCACCTTGAGTACGCTAGTGTTGTGTGGAATCCCACATACCAAACACACAAGTATGCACTAGAACGTCCTCAAGAACATTCAAGTTCCTGGCGTACAAAACCCTAAATTTTGTACAGAAGGATTATGTTGAATTACAGAAGTTCAATTTGCAAACTCTGAGGATCTGTTGTGACTGGTGTACAAGTTAACGGACGATTATTGTCCAGATATTTTAAAAAGATTTACTTCGTAGTGCCTAGAATCAACGCAAGAAGAAGACAGACTGATACTTTTTCTTCCAATCCTTAACCAATCTAGGTAAACATGCGCCCTCAGTAGAATGTTAGGAATTTTAACCAATGTAGTTGTAGACATAGTCTTGAGTTATTATATCACTTCCTATTTTAAGAAGAAAATTCATCATCTCAGCCATAAGTCATTAATATTTACCACGGTTCAATTTATCTATTTTAAAGATACAAATACTTAAGTAAACTCTGTCCGCTTTCATTTATTAGAGTCAATGTTGTGTACACCTATTATTAGATTGCATGCTAGAACAAAACCCAATATTGTTAATTAGAAAATATATACATGTAATCTGTTGTGTTCCTTAATAAATAAATAAATAAATAAAAAAAAAAAAAAAAATTATCAATCAGCCTTAAGTAAGTGTTAATTTAAAAACGTTCTAACCTATATTATATGATATGTGTCACCCACTAATGCCAAATATGAATATGGTCACTGGAACTTATCTCAAGCATATCTGTACGGTTCCTGGCTCATCGGGGTGCTTTATATAATAGAGGATTTTAGTTTTACTCTATATTAACCACTCGCGTACAACAATAGAATATAAGCGAAATAATTAAATGTCAATTACTATATAACGAATGAATGCAATGTAACAGTTGAAGAAAGTGCCTACGCTTGGCTATACTCTCGGGGCGTAACTACCATGATTTAGTTAATTGCTATGAAACGAATGACTGCAATGTAACAGTTGAAGAGAGTGCCAGCGCCTGGCTATACTCTCGGGGCGTAACTCGAATTCGTAACGATATAGGAAATTGCCACGCTTATAAAACTAAGAAAGCCTGAGTGAGCAAAATGTACAGCATTGACTCGTACACTATGTATTAGTATTTTATTCAATTGTCTTTGGCCTTAGTAACGGTATTTATACATAACTTGTTGTTGTTACTCTTTTATAAAAATTATCTACTACGCTATAAGTAATTTCTTCGTGTTTATGATCTTATTATTCCTCCTCAAAACTGTAATCTAAAGCTCTTCTACTCCACATTAAAACACTCTGCTTTAAGCGTAATATCTAATTACGAACTAGTTTATCCCTTATTGTCTACAGACAGATTCGTTATAACTTACAATACTAATCTGTGAAAAAAAACAGTTTTTGACAAATTACTTCTTACATGTTAATTGTCAAAACTATCGATTTGAATTTTGACGTTTCTCGTACGGCCCGTGGCCAGTTAAGTTTTGACATTTCTTTTGTGTCAAAACATTGTGGCTTAAAGTCTCAAAATGGTTAGCGTTAGAAATTTTTAATCTAAAATTTATAATATAATCATTAAATGTATTTAGTGTGTCCAAAATATAATTAATTTCTCTTAAAATATGAGTTTTAGTTTTGGAAATATTTTTAGGGAATATTTTCATGGTATTTAGTAGCAGTGCGTTGTTGCAGCTTACCATATTCTCGTGAATGATCCATATTATTATATGAATTGTATTATAAATAATGACGTATAACTTATTTAGTCCAGATGTTAAGTTATTGTGTCGATATAATTTTATACATCAAATCAAATAAATAAATTTTAACCCGTAATTGTTTTATTTTAGGGGAAAGTTAAGTGTTCTGAACTTCGTACGAAGGATAAGAAGGAGCTCTTCAAACAACTTGAAGAGTTAAAGACAGAATTAACAAATCTTCGAGTTGCTAAAGTCACTGGTGGTGTAGCCTCAAAACTGTCCAAAATGTAAGTTTCCAGGTTTTTACATTATAGTAGACTTGGGCCACTCTTGCCCCCGTGTTAATTCGGTCAGAACGATGTCACTTAATCTTTATTTGGTTTTGAAATAATTGCATTCAATGAAACAAACTTTTTAGCTATATAACATCAGTGGTTCCTATTGTAAGTATAATTTTCAGTTTAATGATTGAATAAATGATTTGTTTGGTTTTTGAACACTAATACATTTATACTTATTAGATACACTTTATTATTCTTTAAAGAAACATGAAACATTTAGTACTTGTAACTCATCATTGAATCTAATCGGTATATTATAAGATATTCCACCTCATATATTTACAGAAATTATTATGTATTTTTAATCTTTCAGACGTGTTGTACGTAAGGCAATTGCACGAGTTTACATTGTGTACCACCAAAAAATGAAGGTTAATCTTCGTAACCATTATAAGAACAAAAAGTACAAGCCTCTAGACCTTAGGCCCAAGAAGACCCGTGCTATGCGTAAGGCTCTTACAAAACACGAAGCCAAGTTAAAAACAAGGAAAGAAATTAGAAAGAAGTCTCTTTTCCCTCCTAGAGTTTACGCTGTTAAGGCTTAAATAAATATCTTCTAATATATTATGAATTTTATTTTTCTTTAAAATATGACATTTAATTCGACTGTAGTATTATTAAACAAATAATATACAAACTAAAATACGCTTCTGGACACATCTATTGGCCCACCTTGCATTTTTAGTTTCTTTTGGTCCTACCTAAAAATTTATATTAGGTCGAGTAAAAAGTTTTTATGCAGTTTCGAACCTGATACATTTTACCATCTTTTTCGATCGTATTGTTTTAAATTTGAATTTAGAATACCACACCACATGGAGATACGCCTAACAAGTCGGGTATGCGCCTTGATGAAGTCAGTTGATTTTTGAATAAAAAACGTGTTTTATGAAATTAAGGTGTAATTTAATAACGCGTGTTGCTTCCATCTTCGACAGCTCTCATACGATTAGGCATAGAGTTTATCAACCGCTCTATGAAATTTTGAGGGATCATCTCGCATTCCTCTTCTATGGCAGTTTTCAATTCCTGCATCGTCTGGGCAACTGGCTGACGAGCCCTAACACGTCTTTTTAGCTCGTCCCACATGTGCTCAATGGGGTTCATATCTGGGCTTCTGGCTGGCCAGTCCATAACTGCGATGTTCACATCCCGAAGATATTCTCTGACGATGCCGGCCGTATGGGCTCTTGCATTATCATACATAAAAAGGAAATTTGGGCCCACATAGTCCGCGTATGGCATCACGTGAGGTTCTAAGCACTCACGAATGTACCTTTCAGCATTTAATGTTGACAGCCGTGGTCCCGTAACAACCTCAAGTTGAGTTTTGCCGCACGCGTATATACCGCCCGAGACAGTTCATGAGCCACCGCCATAAGCAACCCTCTCTTCAAAGCAGCATTGTGCAAAACGCTCTCCCTTACGTCGGTAGACCTTCTTCCTTCCCTCATTGCCATGTAACGACATTTTAGACTCATCAGAAAAGAGTACACCGTTCCAATGCTGCTGAGTGCAATTTAAGTGTGAGCGCGCGAAATGAAGGCGCGCTATTCGGTGGGCTCGCTTTAGTTTTGGGCCATTAGCTGGCTTGTGTGGTACCATATCGCGTTCTTTTAATCTTCTCTGAACAGTTCGAGCGCTCACATTTACTCCATGGAAGTCGCGAAGTTGGTTTTGTATCTCAATGGAGGTAAGGTGACGATTTCTGAAGCTGGTCGTCACGATGAATCGATCCTGCCTTTCAGTTGTGACCCGAAATCGTGGCCTTCCTTGGCGACGAACAAAGCCGCCAGTCTCTAGGTATCTCCGATAAACGTTTCGGACCGCAGATCGACTTAAATTAAGTTGATCACTCACATTTCTTAATTCTTTGGCTGTGTCCGGCCCGGATAAGTGCCACAGCTTGGGCGGCGACTTCAGGCGAAGTATCCATAGATTATAGATAGTACCTCATATTAATGTTAAGAATAAGTAATGTTTGTTGCAAAACCAAAGAGAAAAATCACACTTTCAAGAATTAAATCCAACTAAACCAATAAAATCTAGTTTTCTTAGTATTCGATTGTTTAATATAAATGAGCAGGCGCCAAATTGTCTTTTGTTTCTTAAAAATCTGTGTTCGAAATAAAAAAAAAAATATTGAATGCAATTATGAATGTGCCAGGTTCAAAACTGCATAAAAACTTTTTACTCGACCTAATATAAATTTTTAGGTAGGACCAAAAGAAACTGAAAATGCAAGGTGGGCCAATAGATGTGTCCAGAAGTATATTAATATCAGTAAAAATATAGGTAAGTCTTAATTCACTTAATGATAACAAAGGAAGTTTCCATCCACATTATCAGCTATAGTTCATCATGTTTATACTTCTTTCGACTGGGAAAAGACCAAAATTCAGATGGAAGGCCACTGACGTCTCTATCTCGTTTTACAAATGCAGAAAAAGAAGACACACAATTGCCAATAAAATAATTAGCCTTGCCTAAGATAGCTAGATCTAAATGTGGATTACTGTTGTTAAGTTTAGTTAGAGTAACATGAAAGTCCTTTAATGATTTCTTCAACTCTTCTATCATATGATTGGAATCTGATGCAACAAAAACATACTTTATGTCTGGAAACTTTTTTAGTGCCCTCTTGACTTGTCTGAAAGTAAAAGTGAGAATAATATTAAGAAAGAAATTATAAGATTTCACTAAGCATTTTTCATAAACCTTATCAAAATGTGCAGTAAAGTAATACAGTCATAACTTACTTCAACATTTCACCCTTAGTGGGAAGACACATTGATGATGTCAAGGGTCCTTTCTCATTTTTATAACCAACACATTGAGGTGCTGCAAACAATGTTGGGCTATCTTTGACATGCTCACATGCTCTTACCCAGTCTTGACCATTTCTTAAATGAAGGCCTAAGAAACCACCACCATTCATATTTTCTTTGATGAATAACTTAGCTTTGTCCAATATTTGGACATTCCATTTAAGATATTTTTGTAAATGTACATTTTCTGCCTGAACAGGAAAACTAGCTGGTGCACCTAAAATAAATAAATGTAATTTTTCAAGTGTTTACAAAGGGTTAGAATAAGTTAACAAAGAAAAACTTTTTGGTATACCTGTAAAAGCTAACACAGGCCATTCTTGTGGTCTGTACTTAATAATCCACTGTTGTATAATTATTTCGTTATATGCATCATAATTTAAAGGTCCATAAAATTCAGAATCACTAAACTCTATATTAAAAGTGTCCCAAAAGGGCCCAAATGGATTGCCTGACTTTGCATTACAACTATTTTTATAATCCCCAATTCTAGGAGTGTAGCAAAAGGATATCCTTTTGTCTTGGGGCCAAATGTTTGGTGCAACTTCTTGCATAAAGGTTTCCATTGTCACAATTTTGTTGTAAACAGTTAATGGCTTTGTATCAAAATAGGTGTCAAAAGGGACTTGAATTGATTTCACTTCTCCATATCTGTATTCCACCCATGGAGGAAGAATTAATGTCCTATTAAGGGCTTTACTAAATGCTAGAGCTCCTAAAAAATGATCAGCTTGGTTTCCAAATCTACCTAAAAAATATATGTTATTTGAAAACAAATAAATTATTTATTTAAACTAAAGTTCACATCAGTAAAAATTTTAATATGACCTATTCAATTGGAGAAAATTTAATTTTTCCATAATAAGGAATAAGAAATGTATCATAATAAATATTCATTTAACAACTTACCCATGCAGGGACAATAGGCAATGTATCCACTTTCATCGTAACAATAACTTATATTAAATATGTTTACTAGAATTATTAAGCATTTAATGATATTATTTTGAAAGATACCCATTACGGATATTAAAAGTTTTAAATTTACATTATTTAGTAACTATGTATTCTGCCCTAACTGATTCTCGTTTTAATATTAATTACAATTTTAAAAGTTGTTGAGTGTTGACCCGAACCGTTGAAAGTTGAAACTATTATCTGTGTGATCTGTGTCCTGTGAAAAGGATAAGGTTTTTTTTTTTCCTTTATGGCTCTGGCACGGTTTGTGCATTAGCCAGCGTCAAGTAGGTATAAGATTTTTACAAGTCGCTGTTTTAATTATTTACAGTTTATGAATAACAAAAAACGAAGGAAATTAATCGAGACATAACATAGATGATTGAAAACGCATTAAATTTACAACAAAATCAAAATAATATAAGGGGAAAAATATATCAAAATTATAGTTTAATGTTATTATTTACAATAAATATACTTATAATACTATATAAAAGGGGATTTAAATCTCGAAGAAGTAAAGAAATATTGGTAGGAAGGGGAACAGAGAGAGCTACTAAAGAAGTATATAAGGAAGAATGGTCATATTTAGGACAAGAAAAGAAAACATGATTCAGGTCAGAATAGCTCTCGCCACACTCACAGGCGGTACAAGTTACGATACCAAGTTTGTGCAAATGAACTGGAAGGCTGTTATGATAACGTTGGTTTAATTATTTAATATTTATAGGGGAGCTTAGACAAGACGCCTTAACAGTAGTGTATGTACAAAGCCGAAAACTAAATTTGTATGAAAATGACAGTTCGTGTCGACAGTCGGTAGCCTAGCTAGGCCTAAAACTGGTCTGGAACAAAACATCATACAATACATAAATAGTCAATTAATGTTTCGACAGTGTAGAAAAAACAGCGTTTAACCGCCATGTTTTTGAGTGATACCAAAAGCTGCTGTTTGCTTTAATTTGGGACCGTAATCGCTATCTTTAATGGCTACCGTTTTAAATATTAAATACTTGTTATTGGCTTGAGACAAAGTCACTTAACGACAGGCGTGACCCACTACCGAAAAATAAATTTGTTTGAGAATGACATTAGGTCGCGAGATATAACTATATATTGAATATATAGTTATAACTTATAACTCAACCTTATTCTGTTATTTCTGTTCTGTAGTGTCACATAATTTTGAACGATAAAGATATAAATAATTAAATATATCATTAATTTATTGGGAGAAAACGTCCGTCTACGGATAAAACATATTATTTAAAGGACAAATATGACAATGGATTTTAAAGAATTCGATAAAGATGATGATTCAGACAGCGATAGTATGAATTATTCCAGTGATGAATTATCAACAGAAGAGGAACACGAAGATGATGTATCTGCAAATGGTTAGGATAATGCAGCGTGCTGTTCATATTCGAATAGTTGTCATTTAAAACTAATATATACAATTTTAGATGAGGCAAAGAACGACGGAGAGGATTCAAATAGTTCCGAAGATGAAGATGAGGTAGTAAGAGCTATTAAAGCTGAAAAAAATAAACCAAGGGATCATCCACCAACTATAAACACAGAGGACTTCATTGTAGATATTTGTTTCCATCCTTGTAGAAATTTAATTGCATTGGCTAATATAGTTGGAGATATTTTGTTATATGAATACAATAACGATGAAACAAAACTAGTTAACTGTTTAGAATTACATATGGAAGCCTGTAGAGATGTAGAGTTTGATAATGAAGGCAGTGTTATGTATTCTACAGCTAAGGTAATTATGCATTGTTTAATATTATCTCATACATCATGTTATTCTTGTTGAGTTAACAGTTAATTAACACATTACATCCAGATTATAATTAGGTAACCAGTTGTCCAATCCAATCTTAAAATAAAATTGCTGCATGCTAATTGCAAACAATTAGTTAATGTATTAAGATTTAAAATTTATATTTCAGTTGCACTGTTCTTTAGATTTTTATATACATACTAGTGGACCCCACAGACGTTGTCCTGCATGATATTTAAAGCGATTAGGATATTAAGCAAAGTATGAAAGTACCGACTGCAGTGCCATCTGCCGGGCTGATTTGTGAATCTAAACCATTCCCAGATCCCCTTGAACACACACAAAAAATTTCATCAAAATCGGTCCAGTCGTTTGAGAGGAGTTCAGTCACATACACACGCACAGAAGAAATATATATATTAATCTGTAGAGAATTTAATAGATGGCTCTTAGTATGGCTGTTAGTGTTGTTTCCTGAATGGCAGTAGAAGATATGATAGTATTCTGAGATTGGTTATTTGTTGTAGAGACCTGTGTCACCTGTAGTGTCTGCTCAATTTTTTGTGTAGTTTGTACACTAGTGTTATTAATCCCAGTTAATATAATAGTATTTGTTTTAAATATATTGACCAAGCATATTATTTTAGGATAAAGTTATTATGGCAACTGATGTTGAAACTGGAAAATTAAAACAATGTTATGAGAAAGCTCATGATGATCCAGTGTATAAGCTGTTTAGTCTGGATATCAATAAATTTGTTACAGGTAATTTTTTTTAATATATGTTAAGTAATGTTGACAAATTATTGGAAAATAAAGATATCACAACACAACATTTAATAAATAGTCAAATAACATATAATCAATTTTAATCTTTGCTTCTAGGCGATGATGCTGGCATAGTGAAACTTTGGGATTTACGTCAAAAAGATCCTATATTCACCTTGAAAATTGGAGAGGATTATATATCTGATATAATAACTAATGAAGCACAAAAGTATTTAGTATGTGCTGGTGGAGATGGAACATTAACATCAATAGATCTTAAAGCAAGGTAATGGGCATTAAAGTGTTTCTTTTTATAACTAAAGAACTATCAGACTAGATATATTCATGATTAATTTTTTTAATATTAATTTCAACTTTGTTATAAATTATTAGATATCTGTTGCTAAATTATAAGTTTTTTGATATTCTATTGTATTAATAGGCAAATTGTATTATATTCTCTAATAGAATGTTACTTGGAATTTTTTTAGCAAAATTTACACTGCTTCTGAGCAATATGAGGCAGAATTAACATGTCTAGGTTTATTTCGCTCTGAGACAAAATTACTCGTAGGAACATCAGTTGGCAAATTCTATTTATTTAACTGGAAACAATTTGGTTATCATAGTGATGAATATGTTGGACAGAAACATTCAATTCAATGCATGATTCCAATTACCCAAAACATTGTTGTATCATCAGGAGAAGATGGTATAATACGAGCTGCACATATGTTTCCACAAAGGCAACTAGGAATTGTTGGTCAACACACACTTCCAGTAGAGTGCTTGGATATAAGCCATGATGGCCAATATATTGCATCAAGTTCACACAATGATGATATTAAATTTTGGAATATATCTTACTTTGAATCAATTGATTCTCTGATAAATGTTAATGAAAAGCAAAATAAAAGGAAGGATATGAGTAATAATTTGCCCTCAAGTACTGTTAAGAATGCTTCTGATTTTTTTTCAGGATTGTTATGAAATTGTTAGGTGCAGAAACTATTCAATATAAGGCGAATTGGTTTGAAAATAAATACAAAATTTTTTGTATGTTCATAATTCTTTAATTTTTTCTATTAAGCTACCATGAAGTACTTATAAGATTAGACCATAGTACGTAATGACGAGAGAACATATTTCTTATACGGTATACAGATCGCCAATAAAAATACAGTCATTAAATGTGATGTCATATATGATCTCACTCTTATACTTCCTGTAATCACACATATTTTAAATTTTTCTTTTTCATCAGGTGAATTAACTTGCTGGAAGGATGGATTTATCCTCCCCATTCCTAAAAAGGCTAATCCTACAAATTTTTCTAATTTTCAACCAATCTCGATTTGGTCTTTTCTATCTAAGGTACTTGAACGCCTAATAATACGCATCTAAATGATTTCCTAAACAGAAGTGGTATACTTAATCCACTTCAGTCTGGATTTCTTCCCGGTCATACCACCATTACTGAGCTGGTCAGAGTCGCCAATGACATTCGCGAAGGCAAGGACCACAAACAACTCATAAGTCTCACTGCTAGATTTCATCAACGCTTTTAATACAATAAGCTTCTAAATGCTACTGGGTTTGTTAAGGTCTATTAATATTTCTTAACATGCTATTAACTGATTCTCTATCTTAATGGGCGCCACCAATGCATTAAGACCAACAATTGTCTGTCTCAGTGGAGTTTGATTGAATCTGGGGTTCCGCAGGGCAGCATACTTTCTCCTATTCTATTCACTTTCCATCTAGCATTTAATTTTAATTTATACGCCGATGATCTTAAAATCTACGTTCAATCAAGTCTCTATGACCTCCCGCTCCCTAGTAAAACAAACTATGAGCTGGCAAAGATAACTAAGACTGGACTGGAAAATAAGACTGGAGTAAAGATTTTGGTCTCCAAATCAATCCTAGCAAGAGCAAAGTTGTTAAAGGGAAGATAATTACTAAGACATCAGAAAGTAAAGAATTTGGGGGTGTTATTTGATTTATCCTGGGAACAACATGTTAAGGAAGTTACAAATTGTACGGTTCCTCCAGTATCCTGCGACTTAGTAATTGTCTTCCCTTTAGCACTATATACCTAAACGAGGAATTGCTTAAAAAATATTTTAAATTAGTCATAAAATAATTACGGGTAACGATTTAGAAATCCGTCGCCCGAATTTGATGATACTGATTATGTAGGTATCTCGGGGGACCTTGATTGGAACACCTCCAAGCCTGATTGTTGCTGCCGGAGTTGCGACTAAGTAATTAAGTATTAAAAAAAATGATTTAAAATTTTGTAAAATGTATTGATATTTGTACATTTACAAACAAATCGTACATTTTCTACTTTTCTATTGGTTATTAGAGATGTGACATTCTGCATAAATCGTTTTTTTAATTAATCGATTGTTTTTTAGCATGAAAAATCGATGGATAAAGAAAATGTATTTTTTTATATTTATCGATTATTTTAATTTTTAACTTTAAAGTTTTAGAATAATAACCCCCAACCACTCACGCGCCAGAAACATTTATTTAAAAAAAATATTAATATACTAACCTAACCTAACCGAACAATAGAAAATAATTGGTTTTTTGGACAGCTCCGGCGCTACGGGAAATGGGGGCTGCATTTCCTCACACTCTAGGGGTAAAACAGACTATAAATAAAAAAAAGTCGATTGTATAAAAGCCCAATTTTTTATGCAGAATGCCACGTTTCTAATAACCAATGCTTAATACTAATAATATAACCTTTACTTTAAACTATTAGTTTCATTTTATCTAAATAACCATATTATGTAATTTGTAGTTTTGCACTTCTTGCGATCACCTTATATATTTATTTTTCTCACAGTGGTTGCGTAGAGGCTAGAAGAGACCGCTCGAAAGCGATAAGGCCGCCAGTTGCCCACCTTTTCATTTAATAAATTTTATTGTACATAATATATTTCTCTATACTTGCAAAGAAGTGTTAGTAAATAAATGATTTTAATTTTCAAACAATGTGTCATAATGCCAACACGTCATATAACATTATACATATATGATATATTCTATGGCTCTTATAGCATTTTGTCTGTCATAGTGCTGAATTGTGATCAACGTCATTCAGAGATGTTTATACGTCAGATGTCAATACTGTTTGTTAGTCAAATCAATTGCAAGTGACATTGTACAACAGTATTCTAATTTCTAAGTAACTACGTACTAACAAATAACCATTTGAGGACTACAAGTTGTCGGATTCGTAGGTCCTGAAAAATATTCTGATTTGTGCTTTAACTTAAAGTTTAATAGTTTTTCAGTTGATAATATCTTTGATTTTAGTAAAATTATTAATTACACATTCTGCTAAGATTCATATAATTACAGCTGCTAATGGTTTAATTTTTCACATCATCATTTTCAAAAGGGTACGTACCTATTTTTTTAAAAGAACGTAACATAATTTTAATGCTAGTAATAATAATATTATATATACATTATACCTGGACTTATTGAGTTTCAATATAATTTATTTCAAATATTATTACGTGGAATAATGAAATGTAGAGTTCATCTCCATAGTATTTAAATTAATTAATTTTTATCATAGTAGTTTTAAAAAGCCATAGCTTAAAATGCAACAAATACTTCATCATCAATTGCACGTTAATATTCTTTAAATGTAAGGCCAAGAATGGACACTAGCCCTTACTATGTTTATTTAATGACCTTATAATATTAGGTGAAATCTAAATTTTTATTATTTAAATTCTATTATTATCAAAGCAATATCAAAAGATTATAAGGATTAATTTTAAAAGGATCTATAATTTTTATTCTAAAACCAAATGGTTAAGTTTATTTCTTTTAAGTTTACTTAGACCATATAATTCGTAACTTAAAACCTAAAAGCCTTTTGCTTTATGTGCTTTATATTATACTATCTCTTCTTTCCACAATAAAGAAAAAGAATGTATATTTTTATGTGTCAATGTAATGTCGATAAATATGTATAGCATTTATTGATTATATATTCATGTATATTTTTTTAATAAATAAATTAATGTTTTTTTAATATATTATACTCTTAAAATCTTAAAACATGAAGATCAAAATTATTATGATGACGCACGTTGTAGATCCCCCCTCTGTTTGTCTATCTCTTTCTAACAACTACGTAAGGCTGTTGCACGTGTATCGGACACGCGACTCACGTGCGGTGGTTGCGTGAGTGAATACCACAGTATAAAATAATTGTTAGTTGGTATTTTTGTCGTGCTTGAGGTCGCATGTTAACTTAGAGTTTTAGGGTGGTTTTGTGTTATTTTGTAGAAATTTAAGTACATCGTTGACGCTTAGAATATCGTATGGTCGACGCTTATATTAGGTTACTGCATCCACTTTTTTGTTCTGTATTAAAACATGTAAAGTCAAATAGTATAATAAATACATTTAACACAATATGTTTAATGAACATATTTAAGTTAACTACCTTCATGGATTTTTAATATAGTTAGGGATTTGGCGGCCGACGTTTTCTTTAAGTAGTAAGTTTAACTCTCTTAGCTATCAATTTACTACGAATAAATTGCGGTTTACCTTTACCTTTGAAATTGACGATTTGTATGAAAATTTTATATATTGTTAATCAAAGTACGTACTAGACCAAACTATCTATACAATATTGCCATTTTGATAGCAGTTTGTTTATCCTTACTGTAGAAGTCTGCCGGACGGGAGGTGATGAAATCAGCGAAAGCGTTTCGTACTGCCTTTCGGACGTCGAATTTTTTTCCCACTTAAAAAGATTACAAACTTATAAAAGAAGTAGAAACCTATTCGGGCAAGGTCCGGTGAGTACGATGAGCATTGCGATGGTCGCAAGACCGTTACACAAGTCAAGTCGGTCTGTGAGCGTTACGCGTTGTCGAGGAGAAGCAGTGGAGAAGAGCGATAGACCAGTCTTGGTTGTTGAATTGCGTGCTTCTCCATCATTGTTTGCAATTCTTGTCGATAAACGTTTGGCCCTACTTTTATTAAGAAGCTGTGATGTACAAGTCCGGCACTGGTCCACCAGGCGATTATCTCCTTATGAGTAATCTTTTTTGATAAGGTACTTTACCTGGTAACAATCCGATTTAGAATTTCCTCGTTTTTATGCCGTTTAAGTAGTACAATACATGCTTCGAAGCGTAAGTCTCGCTGTTGGTCGCTTAGTTCGGGTGGCACCCACTTATCTAGCTTATCTTTCCGATTTGACGCAAGTGCTTCAATGTTATTTTGACACTAACTCCAAGGCCTGTAGGAAGCTCAGCCGTAGATTGAGTTGGATCCGCTTCCACTATCGACTTGAATTCGTCGTTGTCCAGAATGATTACCGGCCGACCGCGTGGCTGGTTCTTTAGCTCAACATTTTTAGATTTAAAACGATTGAACCAATAATGGAATTATGCTCGTACACGTCGTTAATGTTTTTCGTATTGGTTGCACAGAGGTATATCCACGTATATCTACTCATATTCGAAAATTGTACGAAATTGCAGTGTATCCATTACACCATAAACTACCACAATTTCACGAAAAGCAAAAAAAAACTAAATGCAAATGCTTGTATTTGAAATTAAATTAATAAGGCTCTCTAATAAAATATATTTGAATTTCGAATTTCGCGCCAATCCATAGATATATAAGTCTGTAAATGCTGGTTATAGACTCTCCAATTACATGGTAAAGTGCTAACATAGGTAAATAGCTATTATTATTACTATTTGAGAAACGTAAACATCTCCTTTCGAGCCCCTTCAGTAGTATAAGTACTACCCCCTCGGTAGTTTAGTCAAAATTTGTTATACATAGAAAGAAAGACTTTTAATAGATAATAAAGAGAATAATATTTAATAGATACTAAATATTAGTAGAAATGATAATAAAGCTCAATTTTAATAAAAATGTAATTTTAAAAATAGAGGTATATAAAACACAAATTAACTTGATTAATTTATATTTCGTAAAGTGACACGTGTTTCAATATCACGTTTTTACCGGAGCAAAGTTTGTTTGGCTTGAATCCTCATTGTGGATTAAAAATAAAGTTACCGAACAACGTTTTCGTGTTTAATTAATTTTGCTAAAAGTAAAACAAAGAACAGCAAAATGAAACATTTGAAAGTATACATTGTTGATTTAACTTTTTTATTTAACGTGATGTTTTTATAACATCAATTTCTATATATCATAATTTTTACTTATGTATTTTTGTTAAAAGGTAAAATATGGAGTGGGTTCTGCGGGGTCCTCAAATTCACAGCACATTCGGCAAACTTGGATTTGCTCATGCAGAGGGATATCACATAAATGAAAACTGCAATGGTAAGACTGGCATGCGTACAAAGATTTTGCTAATTGCGATATTTGCATTTTTAAATCTATGTACACATAATATGCTTTTGGTGTATTCTAGCTTTTAAAATAAAAACCTATTTTGCGTCTTTTCTAGTGTCATGATTTAGGTTGTTACATGACAGGCGAACTAAATAATGCCTTAATATTCATTAACGAGCCGTTCAAGTATTACGTAAGCACTATTGGGGTTTGTCATTGATTTTCATATTTGTTGATTACGTCAACAGTAATTATTTACATTTATACACACATTGTCTATGCTTGAAAACGAAATGCAGGGAGCATGCAAAGAGGAAGGGAGGGGGGATAATTTGCAGTAAATCTGTTTACGTAATACTTGAACCGCCTCTAATTAATTCTAATGAACTTAATATTTAATAATATTAAGAACTTTTGTTTCTATAGCTGCTTTGGAATCAATTCTTAATGATATCCTCACCGAAGATAAAAATCTGCGGACATATAGAAGAGGCATCAGTTTCGGGCAGAATATTAAGAAAGATTTAATACCGCTTTTAATACATGTAAAGGATGACAAAACAATTGAACTTCTGATTAAGATACTCGTAAATTTGACGATTCCGGTGGAGTGTTTGTTGTCAGTGGATAGCATATCGAATTCCGAAGTTGGCAAACATACTATATTTGAAATTAATAACTTGCTGTCGTCTACAAAAGCTGCCTTTGTGGACAATCGAGCAACTAAAGTAATAGTGGAGTTTCTTAAAAAGAATTCGGATTTCGAACAAAATACAAAGTTAACTGTGGAACAATGTACGAATATAAGCAACGCGTTATTGTTTTTGCGGAACATTCTTCATATTCCAGAAGACTTTATTATGTCGTCTAGTTATAGTGGACCACCTCACATGTTACAAAATCAGATAATATGGAATCTTTTTAGTCAAAGCATTGACAAAAGTTTAATAAAGCTTATGAATATTCAGGAGTCGGTAAGAAATTTTTAATGATTAAAGCTTTACAACGCTTCTTAAACTAGCTGGTAATGTTTTTTTTTAAATTTACACGTTACAATAGCAAATTTTATGCTGTCTGCCTGCATATTCGTTCGGAAAGTTGTTTCTTTCAGAAGAGTATGTTTCGATCTGTAATATTTACTAAGTAAGAAGTCTGAATTCGTGTTTATGTTAAACTCTAGATTGTAACATATTCGTTTTTAGTAGTAGTTTTATTAGAAAATTATACTTCAATCGAAGTTGCAACGTTACTTATACTGTATGAGATATGAGAAATTATTGAGATTGTGTCTGTATTTTGGTTAAATTCCAGATAAATTGGGGTGTTACAATGGTTCAGTTGATAGCATTGCTTTATAAAGATCAACAGGTGACAACGTTACACAAGCTCCTGAATATATGGTTGGAAAAATCTTTATCGGAGAGCTCTGAGGATAATGAGAGTAATACAACGCCACCTAACAGGAGTATGTAATTGAAATTATTTTTATACATATTATGTAAATGCATTCAACTCTACAAAATATTTTTGAAGTTATACTTCTTTAGGCGCTTTATGAAAAATTGATGAGAGTGAAATTTTACGATGCGCGCGCACCGTGACACAAAATTAACAGAATGAAGTTAGTGGCGCATGTTGGCACGCACGCCGCCTCTGTACACTGTGTATTTATATTTATAATATTTATCCACATGCTTTGAGTTTCTACATTTAAAACACGTGTTTTCATTTTGTTTTCATTATACAAGTGCGAATTTTATTTGTGCGTCTGAATTATAATCAGAAGTGATTTAAATTGAATATTTAAATCAATACTAATTAATATTAGAAAATAATAATAAATATAATATTAATAAATAATTATTTATTTAATTTTTCAAATGTAAACTGAACTTTATTGAGTATAATGACTCCTTTTCCAGTCTTTGATTATTTAATTGTAATTAATTATTTGCATGCAATCAAAAACTATTTTTAATAATGCCAAAGAAGTATAACTTCTTACGCGCGTACATAAGTACACGCACCCTTTTTTTTAATTATAGAAAGGATGTTTTGGTCTGCCAACATAAAAATTTCTCTGTTATCTATCCGAAACTGAAATTTTATCAATCAAAACACTCCTTGCTTGTGTAAAAAACAATAAGTTACAACAATTTTGTACAGGTAGCAACAATTCTTCCCCAATGTTAACATCCGATGCGACTTCTGATTCCTCTGACACGGGTAGAAGTGGAAAGACAAACGAAGGTTCTAATTCCATTAACAATAGTTGGGATTCAACCAGAAATATGAGTGACCAGACATTCCAATCAGACCCAATGCAACAGAAATCCTGTCTTATTATAAATAATGAACAAGGAGAGAATTCGCGTGAGAAAGATATCAACGTAAGACTTTTTGTGAGATTTTTTTATGGATAAGGAAACAAACCTCGGATAGAGTATTAGAGTACATCATTTAGTAGCTATGGCACATTTTTATTATAGCTATAATATTAGGTCCTTACATATGAAATTGTCGTTTTGTATGAGAACTCAAACTCAAACTAAAATCAAAGTATGAACCATTGTTTTCTATGTACTTTTGCAATCTCATAGGTAGTTCATTGATCCCTTTACTAAAAAAAACAGTCGGACGGGAATCAATAAAATCTGTGAAGGCGATTTGGACTGCCCCATCAGAGTTAAATTTTTTCCCTTGCAAGAAGTTGTCCAAATTTCGAAAAAAAAATGGTAATCTGTTGGAGCAAGGTCCGGGGAGTACTAAGGATGTCTTAGACATTCCAATTGAAGCTCTTCTAATTTGGTAGCCGTCTGTTGTGCAGTGTGTGGTCTAGCGTTGTCGTGAAGTAGCAGTGGCGTGGAGCGATTGACCAGCCTAGGTTGTTTAGCCGCTAGCTTGTCCATCATGGTTTCAATTGCTGACAATAGACATCAGCCGTAATAGTCTGGCCAGATTTGAGAAAACTGCAATGAACAATACCGGCACTAGTCCACCAAACGCTTACAAGTAACTTTTTTGGGGTTAATTTTCGCTGAGCGCTTCCGAATATCGTAAAGAATCCATTTTTCATCACAGGTTATGATTCGGTTTAAATACCTTCATTATTGTGCCGTTTCAGTAATGTAACGCAGCAGTCGACGCGCGTTTGCCGGTTTGCTTCAGTCAATTTGTGAGGTACCCATCTTTCAAGCTTTTTAATCTTCCCAATTTGCTTCAAGGATCCGCTTCCACAATAGCCTTCAATACTTCATTATCAACTTGGGTCTCAGGCCGTCCACGGGGCTTGTTCTGCAGGTCGAAATTTCCAGAACGAAAACGTTGGAACCAAAAACGAACTGTGTTTTCTTTTGCAACATGACCGCCATACACATCATTCACCCTTCGAGTCGTTTCCGCAGCACTAGTGCCACGGCGGAACTCGTACTCGTAAATAATGCGATACTTTAAGTTTTCCATTTTGTAAAATGAGTGACGCAAACACAAAAAAAACATAATAAAAAAACAAATGAATGACGGTCATCGAAGCACAAATACATGAGTAAATAGCTGTACAAATTTGAATTTGGAATTCCTTACCAAAGAGGAGAACATCGGGATTAAAGTGGCCAGTACGAAATACGCCAATTTCATATGTAAGGACCTAAAATATTATTTAAAATAGATCCGATTGTGTGTCACTCCCGTTTTTCTAGCTGGTTACAAATAGAGTAGAACTAAGGAAAAATAAAATGATTTTTTTAAATTCACCGATTGATAGGAGGGCTGCCTGATGGCAACGTGTATCTCGTTCGTATCTCGTTTTGTAATAAATATTTCTCAAGTTCTTTAAACATTTATAATTTAATTTTGTTACGAAATTTAATAGTTGGGCTCGAATTAAATAAAAACATACATATGTTTCATGCGAGAGTATGGGATTCTTAATTATAAAAAGTTGTTCGAGTCAAATATACCAGAGTGTTGGTTCAAACTTTTGGTCACGTCGACCTTTACTTAATTTTTTTATACAATTATTATATTTTCCATTAAAACCACGTGCCCGAGTCATGGGTGATTCTATGAACATAAATTTTAACAATTCTATTACAGAACGAAATCTTAAAACCCAAGGAGAAAACTGGAAAGAAAAACCGCGATGACCAAATAAATGATAAAAATATGTCTTCAGAAAAGTCAGATTGCGGTTATGACACACAAATGGAGAAACAGGAAGTGATTTCGACTTCTAGTAATGAAGATGAGATGCCATGTGAGAAACCAGTGCATCAGAAGCCATATAAAACTAAACAGCGGCCTAATAATAAAGTGCCAGAAAGTGTCACACTTCAAGAGAGGAAAAGAAAGAAAATTGTGAAGCGAGGGAAGGCTAATATGTGCGTATAACCCTCGAGCACTCCATTCTAAAAATGTATTAATGTAGCGAGATTAAAATCATTATTTCTTAAAATTTTCGTTAATGGCGTCTGCATTGACTTGTGTTTAGATTTTTTAACAATTTACAAACTAATGAGTATTATTGTAATGCTCCATCCCCATTGGAATGTGTAAAACGCTTTCGGTGGTTTTCTTAGGGTGCGTCCACATTTGGCGAATATGCCGCGAATGTGCAGCTCGCGAGCAGTTTGCGAGCTGCGCGCGTGCATTTTTATTCGCTCGCAACCTAAGCGACGTACGCGATCAGCGCGTGGGCGGCGCGCTCTCGCGCCTTCCTTCCGCCCACGCTAGTAAACGGAACTGTAAGCGCGAGAATTGAGTGCGCCTTATACGAGCCTTGCATGAGTTGCGCTAAAGAGGCGCACATAACCATTGCCGTGACTGCACGCGCGCTACATTCGCGGCGCATTCGCCAGATGTGGACGCACCCTAAGAAATTTTGTCATACGAAAGATTAAATGCCGGTTTTTTTATTTAAGAATATAGTTAAACCTCGTAAAATTCACTTTTGACAGTTTGTATTAATTTCAGAATCAACGTCCAAGGACTCACACATAATACGCCAACGGATGAGGATATATCAAACGTTCTAAAGGAGTTCACTTTGGACTTCCTTTTGAAGGGTTACAACTCTTTAGTCCGAACCTTGCACACACAAATTTTGACGAATATGCAATTGGAGATAGACACGTCACATTTCTTCTGGCTCGTCACCTACTTCTTAAAATTCGCGACTCAGATTGAACTGAATTTGAAGCATGTCAATTCTGTGCTATCCTTCGATATTGTACTGTATTTGACAGCTGAAGGTGTGAATTTGTGCGAGCAATTTGAACTCGCGATTAAGTTGGATGAAAATGATTTGAAACCAAGTATTCGGAGGCTGCATTTGGTAAGTGTCTCATATATCTCATGATTACATCAGTCGTCATCATAGGCAGGCTCCGCTGGGAGTAGCGCCTAACACGTCAAGACGCACTCGACGTATTTACTTATAGTTGCAAAGACTGAAAAATAAATGTTCTTGTTTAATTTTACAAATCAAGGACTTAAAACGGACGAGAAAAACAAACAAACAACTCTCTGTATTTTTTTTAATCGCCAGGTTTTTGTTTTACAAGATGCTTGTAAGAAGCTGCCTTAGTTCTTACCTAGGTCAGTTTACACACCATATTATAAAACCGATTTCCTTGTAGGTCGTGACAGCAATCCGCGAGTTAGTTCAAGCTATTGAAGTTTATAAAAAGTCAAATCACATTTGTCAAGAGGATAAAGAGGCTCTTGTACAATTGCAAATGAAAATGTCTGAGACTGACGAACTTCGATCCTTACTTGTGTTGCTATTACGTCACTATAATCCCAAGTATCATTCTAAACAATATCTACAGGTATGTACTATTTAATATGGGGAAAGATAAGTAAGACTAAGAGACCCGCGCTAAATATGCCCCCTGTATCTCAAAAACGTATTGAAATGCGGCCGTCGTACTTAGCGCTATAAAATGTTCGTCTTAGAATGTAACCCTTAGATTGTATACTTACATAGAATAGAAAAATATAACAAATTTAACATTTGAGATCTAAGTCATTTAGCAAACAAAATCAGTTTTAATAAAAGAAGAAAATCTTTAATAAACTATCGCAAAACGGTGTTCTAAGTTTCCTGAAAATTTAATCTGCAGCTCTGGTCAATAGTGACCAAGGTTTATGATTCGACATCTCATTTTGCTTTAAAGCATTTAAAGTCAAGTCTGTCCTTAAATATACCGAATAATATAAAACAAATAATTATGGATTTGCGTCTTGTTTAATTACCTTCGGAAGAGAATATAAAACAAAAGACGAATCGATGGCGCGTGGGATTGTCAATGGTCAATAGTATTTCTAGAACACGTGACATGACACGTCATTTCATGCGGCCAATCCCAAATAAACTCCACGTTTCGTCTTTCATTTAACACCCCCTTTAAGCACTTACGACAATCGATTTATATTTATTTTAATCTCGCTAAAACTAATCGGCTGAATTTATTATTTTTATAGGATCTTATCGTGACAAATCACATACTATTAATGTTCCTGGATAACGTTATGAACTTGCCAGACTACAAGGGTTCAGGAAAAATGATTGACCATTTAAGACAGTAAGTTTTTAAATAGCTACAAATTATACATTTTTGTGATTTCGAACTTAGAAGATTCGTGCTGATACGCTTTGACCAATTGAGCGATTCTACTTTTGGGATGTGTTATTTTTATTTTTTATCATGTACTATTTATTGCGTTCATTAAATAAATATAAAAATAATATTCACAGATTCGCAACCCCCGAAATAATGTACCAATACGGGCTTCTACTAGACGATTTTGAGGTTAATGGCGAATATGTGAACGATTGCGTATTTACATTAATGCACTATGTTGGAGGGGAGCTGGGTTGTCTAATATCCCTCTTCCAGCCCAAAATACTTAAGACCTTCACGTCTATATGGAAATCCGAGTTTGAGATTTGTGATGTAAGTAAATTTAAGAAATGTTATTGATGGTCACGAATACTGGGTTTGGGGCCAAACCGATTCTGACGTTTTTGTACCATAAGAACTGCATACGATGTCGCTGAAAATTTAACATAGAAGTTGAGTGCATATCGCTGTTGAGACTGAATTATTGATTGTTATATTTTTATAGTAGGAGGTTGAGAAAAACTATATTTGCAAAATTACAACGTACCTACATAAGTATGCATAAGTAGCAATATATGTCTAATATAATATAAATAAGTCATAGAATAGGGATCAGCAACCTTGTGAAATTCAGAAAGGAGACTAAGCGCGAGCTATGACTCTCAAAATTCAATACATCTTCAGACGGGAGTCAGACTTTAGTACTTTATATCATTTCTGAATTTTACCCCTTTTATTCTTCCTATTAAACAGCGATAGAGTTTCGTTAGTTTTCTATGGTAACATGAACATAGAAACTGTACTACATTTATGATATTTTATACATCCATTTCAGGATTGGTCAGATCTAATTGAATACGTAATAAATACATTTATAAAGAAGCCGCACTGTCTCCAACGGACTGCGTCATTCCGGTTGGATACGGAGAGTTTCGACGATGATAAAGTCTTTAAAGACCTTATTGATGACCCGAAGGAGGATACGGCCGAAGACCAGTTCATGTCGGATGTGGAAGATACTGATATGTAATATTTATTTATATCGTTCTAGATTATATTGAACATTTTCATGTAGGTAACTTACGCTTACGACAAACAAATTAATAGACTCGAAATTTACACTGCCTATGGTTTTGATATGGCACTTTACAATTGACAAGTATTTTGTAAAATAATCTGTGGGTAACATTTAGAACGTGTCTTACACAATATTAATTTATTTATTACTCGAGCTAGAATAGAAAATTTGCGTTCATATAGATAGTAATAAACAGATTAACGGTAAGTTTCAGAAACGAGAAATATGTAGTTGTACGTAGTACGTTGACAATGGTCCCCCATAATTCGATACGTCTCGTTTCTGAATCTCACCCTTACATCACAAACAGATAATATTTAAAAATAAAATTGTACAAGCAATAAATTCTCATTGTAGATGGACAAAAGATGAGCTCTCAGCTTTCAATTGGATATACATTAAAAGTAACACATCCTCCGATATTGTTGGGGAAATAATAAAACTTTTCAAAGATGACGGCGTAGTTAAAACACGCGAAAGTGTGATCAAACAATTGTACAAACAGTCGATAATAAATCGCAATGAATTCGAACAATTGCTAAAGGAAGACTCAGAAAGAAAATCCAAATCTGAGATGCGGGAGGGAAAGGACGACGACATTGGAAAAATTTGCGAATATATAAGTAAAGATGGCAAAAGGAAATTTCTCGATTGGGTCCAGAATGTTTTGATTGAAACCTGCCACGCTAAAGTATATTTGGAGAAAATGAGGGTGACGCAGGATGAAGAGGAGGCTGAGAACAAAATTGGCTGCCATACTACGCCGAAAAGGCCAAAAGACATGCCTGTTATGTCACCGGTTTCATATCATTCACTCTGTAAGTTTTTTGTAAAAAGAATCGTATGTTAATAGAATCATCATAAAATACATTTAACTATTTCTTTTATATTGGTATATATACATACATGTCTACTTTCTGAGCGAACAATTTACTGCTTTAGTAGTCACCCCACAGGTTGTTTTGAGTTGCCACTGAAGGCTGATAAAATTTTTTTTCGAAATATGTCCGTTCCAGGCTTTATTGGGTCGAATTTTAAAATATTTAAGAACTATATCAGTTTTAAAATTACATATTTTATAGGCCATTTTTTTACCATTTACCACACAATTCATACTAATTTTAATATTAAATGCTAGAGATTATCTGTTAATCCCTTTTTTATAATTAGTAAAACTGTAACACCAAAATTTTATTATAGAAACACAAAAATAATGAACATAAAATTATAAGAGCAAATTACATTCCTTTTTTGGTTGGAAATGCATTTTCGCATCCCCTGCCCCGGAAAGTATGAGTATGTGGGACTCGGCTCGCGCCAAAATCTCTGCTATTCAGACACTGTTAGGTAGTTCCTACAAAGCCACCAGGATAGGATCCGGGGTCGCGGGGCCGCTCTTGCATTTTACCGGGGCCTAAATGAACAATTCAATAGAATTTATTTGTTTATTTTTTAGTGTTGAATCGGTCTGTTCCGTTGGTGCCGTGGAATTGTGAACAGGCCGCGATATGTAAGGACTTGAAGTTTTTACAACTTTTACACAAATTGGGATTTTATATGCCAGTTGATACAGGCAAAATGTTTATAAGGATACCATATTTCTGGACACCCGACTGTTTGTATGAAGTTGCGAGTAAAATTTCATATATAGACAAATGTAAGTAATTTATTAAGGGTAGAGATATAGAGTTACAAGGCACGAAAATAAAGACTGAGAAATTGGACACTTTACTTTCAAATACAATAAATAATAGTTTAAAAAAAATAGAACACACGCTTTTAAAGCACATCAAACTTTTTCGGACAATTTTTTTCGGATTATTGCATTGTCATCGATCTTTGACAGGTGCGCAAAGTTTTAATTAAATCTGTCCGTTAAAAGTGGGTCAAAATCGAGTCCGAAGGAGTCGGTTACATACATACATACATACAGGTGAAGCTAATATAAAGCGTGTAAAAAGAAAATTATTGAATTCGCGAGCAATAGTTAGGAGATTGTAATTATGACCACGTGAGGTTATTTTAGCACAATTTATGAGCAATTCGCCTATTTATCTTAACGATTTTAACTAACATTTAGTTTTTGTTTGGTTTCGTTTGCTTGACGTAGGCGGTTAGAATTTATTTTATAAATTGATCGTATCGCTTAGTGCGTGCATACGTCGTTTCGTAGCAAGTATATAGAATTTTGTGATAGAACGTTGAAAGAGTTCTTATTCTTAATAAGTCGAATTATGCAAGAAATATCTAAATTTATCAACGAACGTATTGTAAAGCGGGTGAGAATGTAAAACAAAAGATAACGCGTTCCGATTGATTGTCATGGTTCGCATCATCGTATTTTTCTACCAATTAAATATGGATAAATTTATTTTCTAACAGAGAAACAGAGAGAGCTACTTATGAAAGAAATTACAATCTAGCCAATGCAATAATTATGGCTAATAAGTGTTACTATACTGACTGAATAACTATACTAAATAGTTCAAAGATAATGTTCATTAACAGTCTTAGGTATATATGTATTTTAATTCGTAACTCAAGTTACAATCTTTTCTTGGGCGCTGTCAGTAACAAAACAGTGTCAGTCGAAACTTCGTACAGAAGCTCCTTGACATTCTAGAATATAATGTTTTGACTACATTCGTGTATCTGAGATACCGCACATGCATTTATATTCACTAGGTACACTAGTTTCACTAACGTATAGTGTAATTTTGAGTCAGTCATCAATCGATCGACTTTGTTAAGTAAAAACTTCTTAATTAACACTTTATAATTCACGTTTTTAGGTAAACTCAAGTTCTCCATCAGCGATATATCAAGTATAAGTGCTTTGAACTCGTCAAAAACGAGTGTAAGATTAGAGGACGAACCTCAGGATATGGTTTTCACGGTGATGCCTGCTATTGTTAATTATGCTCCCATGTAAGTATTTTATTTTTCAATTCTATATTAAATGTCTTAAAAATGGGAGATATCTGTTACACCCAACGATTTCAACATTCGCTTTTGTATTAGAAAACTTATAAACATATTCCCTGTTCTACCTACCTTTTGTCGGGACAGAATTTTCTTAGGTGTCAGGTAAGTACTTAGAATTTTTAATAGGTAATCCGACATCCTTGTAAGGGCACTAGGTCATAAAGCCTATTGGCTATTGTAAACTAATAAGATTTGTTATATTCAGTCCTTATTTCAATTTAATATGTAGAGAGCCGACGGGTGCAGGTTGGTTACAAGTTGTTCAAAAATCACAAGAGATCAGACTTACTTTGGATCTTGACAGGTAAGTTTTGTTTGTTTTTTATTAATTCTAAACGGTTGTGCGTGGGAAGATGGCCTTTAAAAATATTTGAATTCTGCGACCGTAGTATTACTGTTTCTCCTTTATTAACTTTTAAGAATATGTTTTAATTAAAATTTATGTAATATATACATAGTAGGTAAATCAGCTTAATACGATTTCTCGTATTTTATAATTCAGTCCTTGATAATCATAATGCACCCAGTTTTAAGACGTCTAAATGCCCGCTTTTCACTGCGAGCGGAACGGACCCATTACGGACTCCGCTATACTCGTAACGATGATTTTCATACATTTTCATTTCCGAGGGAAACTCGGTCAACTCGCTAACCTTATATGTGACTCTTTCAACTCGCTCTCTCCGCTGCGCTCGTCTCCGCGTTGGTGGAAGCACATGTATGAAAATCATCGTTACGAGTATAGCGGAGTCCGTAATGGGTCCGTTCCGCTCGCAGTGGAAGGCGGGCATAATCGTTTTGATGCGTCATAAAACGATTTCTAATGATTGAACTATCCAATTTCTTTAAATGAATATTATATTACAAGATAAAAATTTTGTGATAAGTAATCACGTTTTCTATTCAAATATTATAAAGTGAAAGGATATGTATTTTTGAATGTTTGTTACGAATACACTCAAACATTTCAAAAGTTTTTTATTATACCCGAGTAACATAGGCTTTATTTATTTTTATTTATAAAAAAATGTAAATGGAATTATCGTATGAAAGACAAATGATATTATTATTTCTTCGAAGGAAAATAATACACACAGGGAGTGGAAATGTGCTGAAGGAAATTAAGCACCCTTTCGATATTCCGATGGTCCAGGATGAGGAGATAAGCGTAGCAGTGGCGGATTCAGACAAAGAGGATCCCGTGAGTTACAGCCAAGCTGAATCCGAATATTGTTGTAACAGGTAATATAAAGAATAATAATATAATATAAGAAAAATATAGTTTCAGTAGAATGTAATTTTCTTTAAGCAATTTAACTCCGCATAGCATTATATTAAACTTTGCTTAACGAAGTTTTATTGGATTATCTCCTTTATTTGTATATAAGACGAAATCCGCCATCAAACTGAATGTGGCAAACAAATATCAACTAGACACTAGCGACAGTCTCTAAAGTTTAATAGTATAAACCCACTTTAATTTTCAAATATAATTAAAGTAGTTTTTCTAGTATTTCTCTTACCGTGGGTGAAATTGCTAATTATTTCGGGTTACGCACAATAGGGTAAACTCGCCTTAAAATAAAATATAACAAACGCACATACATCAGAAGAACTGAAAGCACATAAACATGCTGATAATTGTCTCTCAAGAACCATTGTAGAATCACCAAGCCTTTATAATCTAATCACTTTCCCTTTAAAGCATTACACGGTAGTGATCTGTGTGGGACAGTGCTTGTAAGTTTGATTGTGTATTTGAAAACAGTTTGCTGGCACTTTTGTCGGATCCGACACAAAATCGTTGTCGGACAAGTGTGAAAAGCTTCATATAAAATGTTCTGCCGCTACGACACACGATAAAAAATCGTCCCGACAGACGACATAGTGGGAACGAGCTCTTATCGTCACATCTTAAATTAACGTCTTTTCTATGGAAAGTTAACTGCTATGTTCGACGATTTATATGTCGCTAAATTTTCGTGATTAGTTATATTATTAGTATTTTTTTAGTTTCCGTGTTCAAAATGTATTATTTCTTTTTCAAGTCTCTGCGAGACAGCATCAGTTGCGTCAGATCTCACAAGGATGTACGTATCAGATGAAGATGAAAAGCCCGAAGTGGTTCATCGTACATCCGCAGAAAAACACTTTAACGATGACATGAACTCTGTAGATATGGATAGCGGCGCGGGAAAGAGAGCCAGAGTAGATTTCACATCAGCTTTTTGCTAAAAAATTCCGTTACACAAATCGTTTTAGATGTAATGGCTGCTTTAGAAGCGTTATATCTTGAGCCCTACGCATGGATATTTTTAATAAAGTAATACTTTTTGAATATTATTTTTTTTGTAATTGTTGCTTTATAAAGAAAGATAGTAAACGTATTTTCCACCTTTTTACCTGAAAAACATTGTTTACTCTGTGATAGGACGAAACAGTTGTTTTAGTTGATTTTTATTTAACTACGCGTTATTAACTATTATTAATGACTACTGTTAAAATTTAAAAGCTTGTTTCTAGATTCGCAAAAATTTTATAAAATTTTTAGGAACCTTTTTTGACGTACGAGGGCGGTCCGATAAGTACTTAGCCTCTTCACCCTATAGCACCACTATCGCAAGAGCAAGTTTCATCGCTTAGAACATTTTCGTAGACTCGTAAAAATTTCAGGCGAATCGGGCGCGTATTTAAAAAAATTGTAAAAGAGCAATATCGGTCGGTGATTCGATTCTTGTTTCTGGAAGGGAAATCGCGCAGCGAAATCAAAGAGCGCTTTGATGCAGTGAACGGTGACTCTTCTCCTTCGATGGCGACCGTTAAAAATTGCTTTAACGAGTTTTAACGTGGTCGAGCGTCGGTTTATGATGAGCCACCATTTTTGGGACTCAAAAGGTGTGATCTACATCGACTACATTGCAGAAGGGCAAAACGATCAAAGGCTCTATTATGCCGAATTATTGGGACATTCAAATTTCGACGCCGAATTGAAGAACGCCCCATTTGGTGATGAAAAAAGTGCTCGTCCATCAGGATAACGCACCGGCTCACACCTCCGCCGTCGCCACGACAAAATTGGTAGAATTAGGTTACGAACTGCTGCCCCAACCACCGTATTCTCCGGATTTGGCCCCGTGCGCCTTCTTTTTGTTTCCAAATTTGAAAAACCCCCTTCCATTCGCCGGGCCGAAATTTGAGTCGAATAAGGACGTCATCGTTGCCTCGGAGGCCTATTTTGCAGACCTCCAGAAGACGTATTTTTCAGACGGGTTAAAGAAGGATCATTGCTGGGTCATATATCAATTTGACCTTTGAAAAGGGATTATGTTGAGAATCGCCACTTTAAAAAAAAAGTGCATGCGTACAAAGTATACATGTCAGAAGTGAAACTTCTTTGGCAAACTAATTTTTAACTCTTGTTCATATTTATACAAATCTAAAACTTTACGTAACTTTAACTCAGAGGGAGGGAAATAGGATGATATGTTAGGAATTTAATTGTCCTTAAAATATTAAGTGTCGAAAATTAATACAAATAATAAATTTAATTTTTTAATAATTAATAAAAACACGTGGCATTTTTCGTTTGAGATTTCATGAAATTATTTTGCATATAATACAAATATTTCATAAATTCAAGAAGCCCTTCACTTCAAAAAAATTTGTAGGCTCAGTAGGTACTTATCGGACCACCCTCGTATTATGTATATCTTATAAACAAACTATGCTTACTTACAATATGTTTTGTGACTTTTACTTATTTTGGAACTGTCACAAAGTAAAATAGGCATAATATTAAGCTCATAGTATTGTATTTTATTGACATAACTTTTAGACATAGAAAAACACTTTTTTAACGGATTTGAAGTTATGTTCTATTATAAATTTACAATTATTTTACATAATTTTAAATTTAACCGACGAGTCACCGTGACCACGCACGCTGTAAATCACGCGAAACGTATAAATTTATAATAAAACATAACTTCAAATCCGTTAAAAAAGTGTTTTCTATAATATTAAGCTATTTAAGACTTAGATACCGAGTACGTTTTAATGTTAGTTTGTACTGTATCAGACCTGCATTTTAAAATATTGTCTACATCGAATACTACACTATCAGCAATTATTTTTAAAGGTTACTATAAAGTTAATCATTTAGCTAAGGCCTACATAATTTGTAAACCTAAACCAACAGAAAACAATTTTTTTATTACCTGTTCTTGCTATGTTTTTACAATTATATTGCATAGTTCTAATGCCAGTGTCGGCCTAGTGGGTTGAGCGCATTCGTAGTTCGTGCGTTCAAATAACGGCTGTAAGTACACCTAAGGCCTTTTCTGTGTATGCATTTCCCACGTTTTTAAAGTAAAGGAAAACATCACGAGGAAAGTCGTTGCCTTAATAGCTTTGCCTTTTCTGCAGGCTTACTTGCCTACTAAGATAAAATAAACCGATCACGACAAAGATACAGAAATCTGAGGCCAAGACCCTTAGGGGTAGTGAAATTTTACGATGCGCGCGCACCGTGACACAGAATGAAGTTGCCCACGGAAGATGCTACGGCATTGGACATAATTTAAAAACAACATTCGAATAATAATAGAATTTATGTTACACTTAATGTAAGATAAGAATAATAAATATTTATTTAATTAATTTTTCAAATGTAAACTGAACTTTATTGACTATGATGACTCCTATTCCAGTGTTTGATTATTTATGTAATTGTAATTAATTATTTGCATGCAATCAAAAACTATTTTTAATAATGCCAAAGAAGTATAACTTCCTACGCGCGTACATAAGTACACGCACCCTTTTTTTTGTTATTCGAGACTATAACGACGGACCCCCATTCAAGCAACTTTTAGGTTTATAAAAATGAAATTTTGGTAGAAATTGCAATTTTTGTTTCATTATTTTTAATAGAGATAAGATTATAATTGTTAGTTTGTATTAGTATTTAAGTTTGATGTTGTTTAGTGAATACCAATAAGGAACTTATTAACTTCAAAATCAAAATATTTAATAATAGTATATTAAATGTAATATCTAGATGAATAAATGAATAATAGTGAATAAAAATGCTTTTTTATTTATATAATATTTTTGTTTAGAAAATAAATTACACTAGGTAATTTTTTACCTATACTAAGTTATGTCTATTTCACTTCCGTAGGTGAGGCCTACTACTATTCTTATATATATTAGCAATTAGATCGCCCATATGTATCATAGAGTGCAAGATCCAAGGCTCGATACAAGTTTGCATAAAACGTTTCACGCTCTCCTTCTTCTTGCTGTTTCTGTGGCGGCTTAGATTTGTTTAAAAGAGATTTATGTGCCCTGCACATTCACGTTTAGAAGTGCGACTGTGTCAGAAATTACAGTGAAGCTTTCAATGTTGTTTCTCTGGTGTAAGTTTATTAAAAAGCCGACCTGTATAACAGAGTATACAATTACTATATTCTTCAATTTCTGTTCCTAGACGTCGTGTTTCCTATAAGTAATCTAATTATATCGTGCATATAAATAAAGAGTGGAGTGGCGGGTGGTGGTATGGCTCTCCCGCGAGGACCGGTGTGGTGGGAGAGCTGGAGGTGGCGCTGGTAATTATTTTTGTATTGTTGGTAAAAATGAGATTGAGTTGTGGTGTTGGAGAGCAATGTGGAGTAGTTGGTTATGTTAATTAATTTCCTGGACATATTATTTTTTGCTGTAACTTCCCCACGTGCTGGTTAACAGTCTTATTTCTTTTATTTAATTAAATAGATTTAAAATAATACTTTCTTTTGCTTATCATCATAATTTATTGATAAAGTTATATATTATATAATACACATCTAGCAACAAAGACTTCTTACGACAACTAGCAACAAACAGACTATTAGAACCATCGCAATTATCGTAAATTAAGTACAAAGAAGTTGAATTAAAAGTACACACAAACTGCGTCTTACATGTCCCAATCATACACATTAATTAAATAAGTATTATACTAGCTTTAATAATAATTATTCACGTCTTCAGTAGGCGAATTATAACCATAATGATTTTGTTGAATAGCAGTATTTGATTCTAGCCCATTAGATCCGTAATAGTTATTGTGTTTTGTATAATTGGGAGATTCTTCCGCATAGTCTTCGGAATTTGGAGCATGTCCGCTATAAGCTGGGCCATTATAGCTTGGCGAATTGTGTTCATTGTTTTCTTTAACCTGGTAGGAGTTGTCTGCGTTGCCTTGGAAACTGTGGCCGTCGCCCAACGCCAGGTGTTCGTGACGTTTTGGAGTGTATGGTGCATGAACGAGCTGAGGAACTGGGACTGGATAAGGCTTATTAATATGAACCGGATATGGTACCTTCTCCACCACTTTCACTGGATATGGAACAGGTATTTTGACTGCCACAGTTTTAGTGATTTTGATAATTTTTACTGGGGTTTCTGGTATTTCCACATGCTCACCAAGGTCGTGCAGTTCCGTTTCATATCCTTCGACTGGTATTGTGTGCGGATGATGTGACGCAACACATATGCCGATGTGAAGAATGATAATCGTTAATATCTATAACAAAAACTACAGTTTAAACAAAAATTTACTTGTCTTGAACCATAAAATCTTTCGTACAAGATCGAATTATTTTAAATTACTGCCACTCAATTAAAAAATAAATTCTGACTTCGAACATAATGATAAAATAAGATTGTTAGTTGATGTAACTTCACAACACTCTACTTTTTTTATAATAATAGTCATTGTGCAGGTAGGAAGTTTTGCGTAACTATTACATAACGCGGTTCAAATAAATACAAAAAATACTAACCCGTAGTTCCATTGCGATGTAAGTTTAGTTCGAAGGCCCAGTAAGAACTATTTTCTAGTAAACGAGAGAATGGCTTTTATACAGACACCTTCATCTCAGTGGAGCTATTACTTTCTTTACTAAACCATATAATAGTGTCTACGGACTCGCGCACAGCAAAAGAACATTCACTATCTGGTAACATATTATTAATTGTAGAAATAGGCATAATTTCAGGTTCATTAAAAAATAAAAAGCCATTTGGAAGGTTTTTTTCATATTTTATTTATTGTTTATATTTAAATTCTAACAGCTCTCAACACATTTCCTCATAGTCTAGCTGACTGATTCCAAGAACAAAGACTTATAAAAAAAATCTATAAAGAGAATTGGCAAAAACTAATGTTAATAAGTTTTCTTTTTCAAAGGAAGTATTTAAGTTAAATTATAGATATAAAACTATAGTAACAAGTGTGAAATAAAAATCAGTATTATGAATAAGTTATTTAATTTTACATATATGATACATTTAAAGGTTCACATAATTAAACTTTCATTCTGTCTGATAGGACTCTTACAATTGATCCTGAGCCTCCAATGTTATAAGCTTTTTCATGCCATAACAGAAGATGTCCGCTAGATCCTTCAGAAGGATATTCAAATCCTCTATATATATACTTCATCAAGATGTCAATATCATCTACCGAAAGGTTAGCCACGGCATCCTCAATTTGCGCAGACTTAATGGCTAGAAGTACCTTTAATGTCAGCGCCAAGGCATTGTCCTAAGAAATAAAATTAGCTATCAAATTTCAGTTGTTATAATCCTAAAGCCAACAAACCCCCTATATCTACAGTATTTCTAAAATGACCATAAATAAAGTTGTTTTATTACAGATTTAATGACAAAATATAAGCCCTGATTCATTATGAGATGAGTGGTGGATCAAAATCAAACAAATGATAAGCTAATGGTTAGTATCCAATAGCTTAAATAAAAAGAAACTAAAGAGAAGACATTTGAAAATAAAACTTACTTTTACTTGTTGATTAGAAGTGCCAATTGGAGCATTAGTTAATACATGCTTAAGTGCATCAACATATTTACCTGTATTTAAATATGTAAGGAAGATAAATTCATACAAAAGCTTATTAATTGTATCAATAGTGGATTAAATTTTAAACCATATTTCAAAGCTAATTATTAAGAATATATGAATGTAGTATGACTCATTGTTACCATACGATAAGGTCGCATCATTATATTATTAAATATATAAAATATACATTTGGTAGATTTTTAATGTAGCTTTGAAATAAATATTAATTAAACTAAAAAGGATATTGATTAAGTAGTGAGCAAACTTCTCCTTCATCAGGTCCGGCGGGAATTGATTGTTCTGCTTCATCTTCTCTGAAGTTGTCTTCGTTATATTGATCTATATCGATTTTACGAAAGGCTGAACTGGATGTATTTTTAGCCATTATTTTTCAAGCACTGCTGTATTTTCAAACTACTCTAAAATATTCAAACTATTCATGTAGTAATTATTTAATTCTCTTTTAAAATATTTACATTTACAAGAATTTGACACAGATTAGCATTAGTTTTCCTTTTTAAAAATTGAAATTTAAAATGATACACAGACTACAACTTGGAACCACAGGGATTAGTAAACGTCAATTTAAAAAAAAGCAATCGTACCAATGTGTCATATTATGGCAGTTGGCAAATGTTATTTGTCTTTGTCAGCAGATTATCTAATATGGTCATTAACATAAACATTCATAACTTAATTTTTGGCTTGTAAATTATTCTTATTTATCGACACTGTCTATTTCGTAAATAGATTTAAAAGTTTGTGGAGTTAGAAATTAAATAGCTTATATTACTTAAGTAAATAACATTGCTCTTTCTAGCTTTTCTAGCACAGCTGTTTGCATTATTTCGTCAGAATGACAATGGGCGATGAATCACCCGTCACTTCCTTGGTTTTGCCTGTACTCATACGCCCCGTATTATCACAGGTGAGGCATATTAATTACAATAAAGTATTATTTCTAGAAGCTGGACTAATTGAAAGACAGTACAGTCCCAAATGCCATACAAGCCATATTTATTAATTCTAAATCAGGGAGGGTGTATTTTATTTCTTCCTGATATATGGCAAACCAAATTGCACAACTACAACATTTCTACAACATTACTTCATTAAGTGTATTTAATTAATGAATATAGTATTAATCCATTAAGTACCTTTATTTAGAAGAATAATTTATTGTGTATTTTAATACAATAACTTTTCATTAATATAAGTGCAATATGCCCACGTAATCAGGGATTATATTAATTAATCATTTCAAATACATAATAAATTGTTTATTAACCAAAAGATTACGAATCTGATTATTTTAAATAGCTTGAAAAGTACCATGTTGGAGGTTCTCAAACATTACGTGCAGCTCTCACTAAAGCCGAAGCAGCTGTTCCTGGGCTTAACTATGATTTGGTGGCTGGAATCATGAGACGGGCAGAGATACCTGTGAATATGAATGAAAGCTTGCTACGTTTACAAGGAACACTTACTGAGGCTGAATGTAAGTTTAATTCTACATAACAATTCTTGACCTAATTTTAAAGACTAAAACTGGTTAAGTACAAACTATGCCTAATAATTTTTTCTATATGAGTAAATGAAATTGATTGTTTCTATATACACATGCAGAATCTTTGTCACATTTATTTTCAAACAGAAACAAGAGTGATAACTGTTAATTACACTTTTGATTTTTGCCTGTAAAGAAAAACATTGCTTTAAAAACAAAATTATGTTCATATAATTTTGTTTTGTGCTATTACTATACTTAAAAAGAAAGCACTTATAATAGATATACACTTGAGATTCTTTATTAATTTATATAACTGGAAGTTTACACAATACCTAATAAAGAAGTTTGATGTTCTTGTTCATTTTTAAATATGTATACTAAAATGTTTTTATAACAAGCATATATTTTGAATCAGTAATATTATTTTTCAGTTTTATGGTAATCCAATATGGACGTATATACAATATATATTACCTTTTTGTTTTCCTTATTTGCTTCTATTTTTATAATATGGTTGTCATTCAGTGATTAGATACCTGATTCAAAATGGTTTAATTATCTAATTGCAGGTGCAGATTTAAGACTGAACCGATCTGAGGAGGCATTCCAAGAATTGAACAAAAAATCTTCAGCCCTGAAGAAAATTCTTAGTAGAATTCCCGATGAGATCACTGATCGCAAAACCTTTCTGGAGACTATTAAGTATGTTTACTTAAATAATAAATTATATGCGACAATGTGGAAATATATTATGTAGGATGTAATGTATAGACTATTATTTTATGTCACTATTCTCTCTGCTATTCGCGTATTGTTATTCCTAGCATAGTATACTATCGATAACGTGGAGAAACGACTATGGATTTACTCGAGATTAAAATCATGGAATAGATTATTCCTGGTATAGTTACTAGTGTAAGAACTGGAGCTTGGTTGAATCCACCCTAAATAGTATGGATTCTATCTAGTAGTATCTCTATCACTGTGTTATTTAATGGATGTGCACTGTTGCTACAAGGGGTGTTGCTAGTGTCACCTGTTAGTTTTATTTCATGTGGCCCATTTCATTTTGGCTCATGTAGTCCTTTCTAACATTATGTTTACCATGGAGTTTTATATAGAACATAATAGGTATGTGTTTAATAATTTATGGCCATCTCCCCAGATTATTAAGAATCATTAATTCTTTCAGAGAAATTGCTTCAGCTATAAAGAAGCTGCTGGATGCCGTTAATGAGGTTTCTACCTACACCCCGGGAGGTGGGAAACAGGCTTTGGAGCAAAGAAAAAGAGAATTTGTCAAGTACTCAAAGAGGTTCTCCAACACCCTGAAAGAGTATTTCAAAGAGGGACAGTAAGTTATTAGATTTTTGTAAGAAAACCTCAAATCCTAGTTGTGGGTAATTTTTTTAAAATACGTATCATTTCGCGAGTACATATAAAGCAAACTTTAGCGCGGGTGACTCTGACCACGGATGCTGAAAGAATTTCAAGCGTCAACTAATGTTTTTCTGAGATGAGCTTACTTTAGACATGATCCTATCAAGATTTATGTAAAAACTGTAGTGTATGTAAAATCGCATTAATGTTTTAATTTTCTTTAAATATGAAACTTTATAATAATCCGGGGCAGTAAAAAAAGTTTCCTTAAACTTCCGGTGCTCGATATTTTTTTGTCAATTTATAACAAGCGAGAGCTTCCTAACTAAAACATTTATTTCTTCGTGTAGCTAAATTCGAATTAATAAAGCATCGGTCGACATAGGCCTGGCTAATTTGTGTCTATATATATTTTGAGCAATGTAGAAAATATTATGATACTTCGTAGAAAAAAATCAACCGTCGTACCTATGATTTACTTCAATACAAGGTAACTGAGGCACCAAGCTAGAATAATTAGAATAATCTCCGAGCGGCTTGATCCTTTGGCGTTGCGTAGAGATGTGGGGTCACTCTGCATCTTCTACCGCATTTACCATGGAGAGTGTTCAGAGGAGTTGTTCGGATTAATACCTGCAGCTAAGTTTCATCATCGGACGTCGAGGCAGAATACGAAATTCCACCCGTATCACCTCGACGTCTGCCGTTCCACAACTGAGCGTTTTTCAAGGCATTTCTCGCCGCGCCCCACCACTTTGTGGAACCAGCTGCCCATTGAAGTGTTTCCGAACCAATTCGTGTTAGGGTCCTTCAAGAAAAGAGCGTACCAATTCTTAAAAGGCCAGCAACGCACTCGCGAGCCCTCTGGCATTGAGAGTGTCCATGGGCAACGGTATCACTTAACATCAGGTGAGCCTCCTGCCCGTTTGCCCCCTGTTCTATAAAAAAAAAAAATTGTGAATAGAAATAAAAATGGAAGGGTAATTAGGGACCGCACGCGTGTAGTAAGTATAAAGCGTGCTTTAGCAATATGTTATACATTATCTATTTCGTACCAATCCATTAAAAAGAATAAAATTCTTGAGACATATTAAATAATTAATATCCTTTTTCAGGGCAAACGCTGTTTTCGTAAGCGCCATGTATTTGATTCATCAAACAAATCAAATTCTCTACACGGTGAAGTGCAAGTCAGAATAAGATAAATATATATTAATTTGGATTAGTAGAAGGTTATTTTAGTTAAGAACTTTTTTGTTATATATACACTATATTAAACAGTAACAAAAATTACTATGTTTAAAATAAGTACCATTAAAATATTACTTTGTATTATTGTAGATTATTATTTTAATTGTGGAAAATTTGTGAGATTGTAAAATCTGTAACTTTCGTACTGATTTCTTTAACCTAAGTGTCAAACTTGATTAAGGGAAAAACAGACATAAAAAAAACTTGAATAAAGCTGTTTTGTCGAATTATACAAATTCGAACGTCCCGAACGATCGAATTGGCTTGACCTTTGGAGCATCTTTAGTGCGTCGCACACGCATTAATGAAGTCGCGTTGGAAACAGCTACTATACTATACTTCTTTTTAATATTTTTATATTATTTTTTAAATATTACATAAATTAATAATTATTTTAAGATGCCTTAACTCATTTGTCCATCCTCGGAAATCTGTCAAAACTCCTTATCAATGTTGTAGTTCTTTTAAACACTTAAATCTGTCAATACTTCTTGAGGTGGATTATATTAAGGATTTGGGTTAGAAATTTGAATAGTTTAGTAAAAATGTTATTTTTAGGTTAAAAGTATTATTTTAAGTCACCAAATTGTAAATGTTGAAATTATAAAGTCATGTTAATATGTATTCGTTTAATTAACTTCTGTTCTTATTTATAAACCTCTATTATGAAAATAAATTCCCTTTTTTTTTCAAAGAAAGTCAGTGCTAAAGACAATTACAATAGCTAATTGCGGATATTATTATACTCATAAATATTACTTATTTATATATAACCGAGATGGAGGTGGCGAATATAATAAAATAGTTCACAAACATTAATAAGTACAATACAAATAAAACGCCACCCACGGTTCTCTTATATTATTTAACAGTCTTAAAGGTAAAATTTCACAATTATTTTGAGTTTATGGAAGCATGATCCTACATGTACATAGTGGATTCACTAGACTCATGTATCATACTCTGAACATGCAAAGCACACGAACGAGTAGAATAAAAAAAAATGAATTGAAACATTAAATACATATGTAAATTAAAATGTATTAGTGTGATCTTTGTTATTTGGACGATTTTTTCTCTCGTGGTCTTCTATTAATCGATTTAATGGTACATTCGTAATGTGGCCCTTTAATATTTGTCCGTGAAAAGTGGATAATAGTTTCGTGACCGACGTGGGTCAGCAGCGTCCGATTCGTCCCATCGTGCGACCCACACAATAGGCTGTCGTGCCTCTTGAACTCTACGCATCACTATTTTCAACCATGACACTTGACACACCTTGTTTCACGAACTAAAAATGTTCTATTTCTCATCAAAGGTGACCTGTCGATTGAAGATGGTTTTCATAAATCTGTAGGCAAATGTCGAAAAGCATTATCTGAGAGTCATCTTATATGTTTTTTATGTATCTTTCTAGATCTTTCTGTAAAAAACTGTTAAAATGTAAAATTATTTAAAAGTAAATAATTGATCACTTTATGCTTTAAAACTTTATTTTTCGTAAATATATGAAAAAAAATTATACTACAAATTTAAATTTGCAATACACCTTAATACAAAGAAATATTAATGGTGTCTTCATTACAAGTTTCATGGATTCAGAAGAAAGAAACGTAAGTATTTTGCGATGAGCAATGACCACCATGATCTGTCGCGAAAATTGATTTTCCTTCTAATATTTCCACGTGAAATATATCTCGTTTATCATAATGTATGGAAAGTAAATGTTAGTACGTATTTCACAATAGATTACTTTCTTTCCGGATCAAGAATGGTTCATCTCTGTACCTTAACAATGAGTCAATCATGCGGATCACTTAAAATATTCATAGCTTAGCGGAGGCGTAATCGATTTAAACGTTTCGTTCTGCTCTTGCTCTACAAAATATGAGATGAAAGCGCGTGATATGTTAACCTTTCATCCCAATAAGGTCAAATTATCTGTCTGCTATTGTTAAATAAAACGAAACTTGAATATGTACGGACTATAATCCCGTTAAGAAAGCTTAAAGTAAAATACTATACCCTTAATTAAAAAAAAATAGTCTAATTGCAAGTAAAATTTAGACTTATATAGCTATTATAAATAAGAGGATCATAATTAATAGCAGTCTGCGGCCCCTATACAGTTTTAGCGTAAGTAGTATTTCTCTTAATTTTTTTTTATAAAAGATACATGCAAATGCTCAGACCAGCATGTCTTTACCCTTAAAAATCGACAGGTCATGCGTGTGTGTTAGCTACAGAAGATCATTCACCTACCATAGATTCATAGAAAAATGATCAAAGTTGATACAAAAATCTGACGCCAGGACCAATACAGAGATATAGCGGCTCTAAATGATAATACTGTTTGTAGCTAAACAGTTGTTAATTTCTTGGCGTGTGTATGAAATAAAAATAAAAATAAAATATTTTATTAGGAACATAAGATACATTATCACTTATTCCACTCATTAAATTTGAAGCATCCCTATCATGGAAAGAAAAAGGTTAGCAGAGAAAAGCCGGCGTAAAAACTCTGGTACTCTTTTAAAACAGCAAATCATCAAACAACACTTATTTATCTTATGATCTACGCGAAGTTTATATCTAGTATATATATTTAATCTATTCGCCTTACTTTTTAAGCCGGCTACACCCAAATAAAATGATCTTATTGAAATTTTATTGATGTCCCCCATTTGAATTAGCATAGCAGACTACTGAAAAAGCTAGTTGTTAATGCAACACATTGTGAATTGATCGCTGTGGAGCATCCTGTAATTGTTGCACATCAATCTCTGTTCCTGGTTGCAAAACACGCATTTGTTATTGAAGATATTATCATTCGATAACCGAAAATGTTAACTTGATTTATACCAATGATTCAAATCGTAACATTATACAGTACGAAGTGCATGAAAGTTCAACGATGGATTGTTTTATTCAGGACGTATGAGCCTTATAAAATACCTATTTGTTAAGAATTACTGTGTATTTGTTTTATGCTTTGTATATTTTCAATTTAATTTGAGCCAACTTAACAAGATGGAATTTACGTAGAATATACCGTATTTAAACAGCATAGATCGGCCATCTTAACGCTAATTACATTATTCTTCAATAATACTTAATAATCTCTTGAAAAAAAAACCCGTAAATATTTAAGTGTAAGTATATAGTTTACGAGCATGAGGCAGAGATCGCCCAGGAGTGAAGATTTTCTTCAAACGACTTTCTTTATTCACACATTAGGTAACGCTTATGGTTTTTATTCCCAATTTGATTATCGCAAGTCGTTACAAGACGGGAAAACGATGTTCTTTTACATAAATATACTTTGTCTCTCATCTTCCCAATATATTTCTGGGATTTGGTATAATTCATTCACTTATAATACACTATCATTGTAGTCGAACGTCTATATTTGAATGTAGTATATATCTAGCGTTTTCTACTGCCTTAGATTTCCTAAGCTGACAAATATATGTATGTAGTCAAACCGACAGCAACATATATTTCCGTAAATGTTTTCAGAGTTGATAAATTTTACATGTTTCAGCAGACAGATGTGTCGATGAAAAGTTTGACGATATAGCAACCTATCTAATGTGATTCGTCATACAATATTAATGGAGCATCTGCTCAGTCAAGTCAGGACATTGGTGGCGACTCGCGGAGCTCCGGCGCATATGCAATCACGTCTCCTGGGGACGATTGACAGGCAAATGTATGCTAATGCAGCACTCACTGAATAATATGCTGTTTTGACGGGTCAAGTGTCTGTTTCTTGTATCACAATACATTTTCTATCGAACGAAGATCATTTTCAGTAATATGAATGTATTTAAATTCGCATTTTTTATTTAAAAGTTAGTCGTAACAAAACGTTTGCTTGTACAATGATGTTCCATTATGAGCAAACAGTATTGATAATGTTCGAGATTTGCGGAACAGTTCCCACAGGATTTGAGAGGGTCACTCGTGGGACAACACTGCAATTGTCAGCGGTTGCTCAAGCGCCGGCTTCGCCGCACCCGGCATCTGTTCCCTGTCGTGGGAGTGTGCAGGGTAACTGATCGCCAACAATAACACAAATCAATGAAGCGACCGGCCGTGGCAGGTCGCGCACCCCTCTGGATGCTGTGGGAACCAAACACGCAATTAATAATAATGCACTTCATCCCTTATTATGAGAATGAGCTTATGGTACAAACAATTCATCATATGAAAAGTGCAAATATCTAAAGCATGTTTCTTTTTTAATATTATTGGTAGCTGCGTAGCTACTTAAGGATAATATTGATGTCCTTATTATCATAAAAATACAGATAAAATGGTAATATGATGGAATGCACATTTTGAAAGGTTTATGAATTAAAGCATCACTCGTGACTCGTATGTAGTTGCTTTTTGCCGATGGGTTTCAAGCGACCTTTACAGTCCATTTAGATTTTGGGATATGACAAATTTAAACGAAAATTTGGACGATATTAGTAATCTTGTTCCATATTCAGAGCGATTTCGTGCATTTTGTTTATGTCCGGAATAAGAATATAATACTGTATATAACATGTTAGGGAAAGTAGAAAACTCTTCTTAAAGTTCATCGAAAGAGTTCTCCTGTAGTCTTTTGTAGTTTTTTTGGAAAATTATTTCATTAGTATAATTATTGGTATGAATATTCATTATACATTAAACTGGGGGCCCATTGACTGCACCATCATATAGGCCACCTGACGCACACGGTCAGCATTGCGTGACCATATAGAATGTAATTGTGGCTGTCGACTCATCAACAAATTGTTGATAAATGTGTTTACCTCATGTTATTATCCATTTTACAAATTATTCTCGTAAACGATAAATAATATTTTTAATTAAACATTTAATTAAATAAATACTTAATATTTATAATATAAACTCTTCACCGTCATCTGATCAAATTGAAATAGTTTTTTAAGATA